GGCTGCTGGGAGCAAGTGGCTGCAAGTGCCTGCAAGTGGCCACAAGCATTTTTGAAAATCAAAACTAGGCGACGGATGGCCCGAGAGCATAGAGGAGAGGGTCAATATATTACAAGTACAAGACAATAGTTTGCATCGTATCCTTCGTATAGTTTTTCACACGCAGACGCCTTTGCACACAGAAGCTTTTACACGCAAACACTTTTACATACAGACGCTTTTACACATAGAAGCTTGCGCACACACCGCAGCTTTTGCACACAGACACTTTTACACACAGACGCTTTCACACACAGAAGCTTTTGCACGCAGAAGCTTTTACACACAGACGCTTTTACACACAGACACTTTTACACACAGACGCTTTCACACACAGAAGCGAAAGGGTTGCGCCAGACACTTCAAAATCACAATTTTACCGCAGTTTTTGGCGATCGAACCTCATTTCGTGCGAAAGGGTTTCGACCGGACCCGTGAAATCGCAATTTTACCTCGGTTTTTGGCGATCGAACCTCGTTTCGTTCGAAAGGGTTGCGTTTCGTGCCGTCTCGTTGGCACTGCCCCGCGCCTTCAAGAGAGAAATAGAAAAGAAGGAGGGTGCAAGAGGGCAAGAGAGCAAGAGGGCAAGAGAGCAAGAGGGCAAGAGAGCAAGAGGGCAAGAGAGCAAGAGGGCAAGAGAGGATGTGAAGATGTGAGGATGTGAAGATGTGAAGATGAGAAGATGTGAAGATGAGAAGATGTGAAGATGAGAAGATGTGAAGATGAGAAGATGTGAAGATGAGCAGATGTGAAGATGTGAGGATGTGAAGATGAGAAGATGTGAAGATGAGTAGATGTGAAGATGTGAGGATGAGAAGATGTGAAGATGAGAAGATGTGAAGATGAGAAGATGTGAAGATGAGAAAATGTGAAGAGGAGAAGATGTGAAGATGAGAAGATGTGAAGATGAGAAGATGTGAAGATGAGAAGATGTGAAGATGAGAAGATGTGAAGATGAAAAAAATAAGATGAGAAGATGTGAAGATGAGAAGATGTGAAGATGAGAAGATGTGAAGATGAGATGTGAAGATGAGAAGATGTGAAGATGAGAAGATGTGAAGATGAAAAAATAAGATGAGAAGATGTGAAGATGAGAAGATGTGAAGATGAGAAGATGTGAAGATGAGAAGATGTGAAGATGAGATGTGAAGATGTGAAGATGAGAAGATGTGAAGATGAGAAGATGTGAAGATGTGAAGATGTGAAGATGAGATGTGAGGATGTGAAGATGAGAAGATGTGAAGATGAGAAGATGTGAAGATTTGAGGATGTGAAGATGTGAAGATGAGAAGATGTGAAGATGAGAAGATGTGAAGATGTGAAAATATGTGAAATGTGAGGATGAGATGATGTGAAGATGAGAAGATGTGAAAATGAGAAAATGTGAAGATGTGAGGATGTGAGGATGAGAAAATGTGAGAATTGAAGATGTGAGGATGAGAAAATGTGAGAATTGAAGATGTGATGTGAAGATGTGAAAATTGTTGTTGACCCCCACTATTAGAAGAACCCTTCGCTCAGACGCTCTCGGGAAAAAACGCCTCCTGCGTGCTCAATGGAAGTTCTAGCAAAATTACAGAGATTTCTGACGTCGAACTGTCACAAGCTTCCTGTGCAAGCTGGAAGCTGAGGCAGCTAAGGTTCCAGCCATTGGGCCGCAAGGCAAACCCAAGAGACGGGTGCTGCGGAATGCCTGGAAGAGCTTGAGCTTTCGGTGCACAATCCTAGTTGCGCTCTGCATTCACATTGACACATCATGAACCGAGGCCAAGCTGCTTCCCATGTTATCGAATCGACCAGGTTGACACGTATATAGATAGTAAGTAATGTTTCGAAACCTACACGAATTCCTCGAGATTAAATTGTGGTGAACAAAGGCCCATGCGACTCGTTTACACCAGACTCACCGATTGTCAAGACACCGATACAGTAACTAGAATCTTATGGGATCTTATGGGGTTGGTATTAAATAATTTGCAATGTCCGCATTTCTTACATTTTTTTACAGTATCGCTAGTGCACAGAAGCCTTTGTACCCTCCATCTGCGGACGGTGGCCACCCTTTTGACCTTCCGAGATGAAAGCAATGCCGCTCGAATCGCCTAGAGGCACCATGCGGGAAAATGCTGGGGCTTCCAGAGCTGGCCGAACTTATATAGTATAGCAGCGTCTTCCTTCAAGGGTTCAAATCTAAGAATTTTCTATGCACAAATTCAACATGCTATGACAGGACAGCACAGCAAAAGCCTTGACATTGATCAGAGGTTGCGTGCAATATAATATATTGCATTTATATATAGATGTTTATATAAAGTGTCATAAATTGATATAAATTGTCCTAACATTGTAAAAGATATAAAAGCAAGACCTGCCTCATTTTCATAGGCAGGCATTGGTGTGGTATAGAGCTCTTCGTCCTTCAAGTCTTTTCCAAAGAGTGGCCCGCCCGAGGAAAAGGAGGTCATCTGCTTGACTTCTCGGAGCTTTGTTTGCACGTGGGTAACAAAATGTCAAACCCAACCTGTTATGCCATGCTAGTAATTATAATTGGTACACCAATTCGAACCTACATCCAGATTTGCATCGCATTGTTCCAGCGCAGGGCCAGGCCCAGTCCGTTTGCCCATAGAATAGGTCCATGAGGGATACCTCAGCGTTTCCATTGGCAAATTTTCACACGTTCATCTGGAAGTCTTTTCAAGGTGGCGGCGGACGGCCAACGAGAAGTCACCAAATGTCACCAACAATTTTAGAATTCTGACAAGAAAGAGTAAGGCACGTACAGCTGGATTACAACCATCAGCACTGGTTGAGAGGTTGACTGAAATGGTCCAAAATGATCTAACACGTGGCTCCCGTGGGCTCAAAGTACGTGCCCCCCGCCTTGCCACCAGTATTGCAGCTGTTGCCCTCACAGGTCTCATTGTCCGATGTGAAGCGCCCATACTCTTTTCTCCTGCAAGTGTTCCATTGTGGGAGGCGTCACTGTGCCAAGAATTGTAGCAATCTGCACGTCGCTCATACGAATACCACACAGAGTGTGACACACAGATTGCCAAGGACCCAACCAACTGCCACTGGGATCTAAGCCAGACCCTGTGTCTGATTCACCTGAACACGCTGAAGTTCAAAAAAAAACACACACACACACAAAGAAAAAAAAACAAGCGCTGATAGTTTTGTGCTGGGGTGCGCAAGAGTTACCAAACCACATCCATACGCAGCCTTTTCCTGATCCTCTACACTGCTGTGCTGCTATCGTAATCCAATGCAGGTGAGTGAGACGGTTTTTTATCAAGCTCTCAGCCAAGCACACGTAGAGCTTCCAGAAGGCTCTTTCTTGCAGTTGCCACATCACCAAAGTCTAGGGCTGAAGAGGCCATTTCGGTTTGTTTTCGTGCCTCCTCTCTTTGACTTGTTGTGGGAGCACTATGAGTGGTACTGGAAATCACTGCTGGCGATGCTGCAGAAATCGCTGCCGGTGGCAGCTGTGGTGCCAGGGAACTGGCCCCTAAAGCAGCTGGAGCTGGAGCTTCGGCACTAGCACTAGCATCTGCACTGGGAGCTTCGGGGTACGACGGGACACCCTGCTTGAGGCCCTCGCGAATCTGCACCACTCTGAACCTTGCGTAACGGGCCTTCTCTGCCAGGTCGGGAGGCAGCTCACCATCATAGAACTGCGCACAGACGTCGAGGAAGAGTGCTGCAGCGTAAAACTTTTGGAACACGGCTGCCTGGCTCTCTCTGTCGCGAGCTGCATGGTCAGCTGCATCTGCTCCGTCAAAGACACGGAGTGCAAACGATTCGGTGGTGCTTTGGCCCTGGGCGCTTGCAATGTTCAGAGTCTTCTTGGCCGCCTCTGCTTCTCCCAGTTCCCCCAACAGCTGCTTTTCAAGCTCTGGTGACGTGTTGCCGCTTTGCCGCGCTTTCATCATCAGCTCTATCGCATGGAGTCGGCAAAAATGAGCCACCACTGGCTGATGTGCCGCAATCTCTCCTGCACGCTGCAAGTATGGCCGCCACTTTGCTTGAGTCGCCATGGCTCCTATCCAGCGTGGACAGTTTTGTTTCAACGATATCAACGATGGAAGTCCATGGAAAGCATGACCGATAGGCCGATAGGCATCCATTTCTCATCACAACATTTGCTCCCATGAAGGGTTGAAGATCAAACATGTTGATTCAAAACCTGGGGCCCAAGTTGTCCAATTGACAAGCTAGTTCTGAGAGCATGAGAGCCAGATGAGCCAGTAACATTTTTTTTTGAATTTGGATTCAGTTTCGGTGGCTGACAATCATTTCCAGCATCATCCCCTCTGTCTACAGGTCATAGAGATCAGAAAATGTGAAGCAATGTGCAGCGTGGGCACCACTATATCACAAAGGAAAAGAATGCAGTGATAAAGTCCAAAGAATCAAGCAAGCATGCCAGTCATTTCAATGTCATCTCCATTTCCAGTGTCCGCCTGCTTCCTGTCCTATCATTATATAGATAATGCCCATCGCGTGTGCATGCCATTGTGTGCATGTTTGTTTTGTCCTTTTAATTTAAGATATTCCATGATATTCCTTGATGCGGTGTTTACATTGCTATTCTCCGCTACCTCATTAAAAAAACGTGATTCATATTCATATTGCGCTCATATGCGCTCATTCAAGGTTCAGTTTTACTGGCGTGCACGTCTTGCATTATAATTCATTGTAGGCATCATTCTCCCAAATGCTGCAAGTTTCACTAAAGCTCCCTCGCAAGAAGGCTGTAGTTTGCCAAGTCACCATTCAAGAAATGGTAAATAATGATCTTGTCCAAGTCTCCCATCCTCAGAGCGTCCAAGATCTTCCAATACTTCCAAGGATCTTGTATCTTTCTCCATCCAACTCACCCAGAAGCTTGGCCAACTTGGCAGCGGGCCAACCGTTGCCTTCGAAAATATCTGGGGTCACGAATTGGTTGATGGGGTCCAAGGTATCCTTGGTCAAACCACAGTACAACTGAATACCACCGGCGGCTGATTCAACTCTTGCTGAGGTTTGCACCCATGGAGGTATCTCAGGCAAGTCCAGCGGATCCTCTGGGGTCTTTGGACTATGGCAAGTTGTTTCCTTGTTTGTCTGAGGTTGTTTTTTTGTCCTGATGGTATGAACATGTATGAACATAATCGAAATCTATGAGTTCATTTTTTCCCCAGGGCTTCAGCTTGACCCAACACCCTCTTCTTGGGCCAGACGAATCGATGCCAAAATGTATCATGGAGAAACATTCCAACTGTCAAGCAGATTATAGTTTTGTCTGAAACATTCCAATTGTCAACTATATAAACTACCTGATCACTGGTGCAAATGTCTGCGAATGTCTCCCACATGTTGCATGTTTGGTCGAACCCAAACCTGGGGGTGGGCCAAGAACACTTCTGTCCTGCGCTACTCTTTCTGTGTAGTTCAAGAAGGCGCTAAATGTCCTCACAAAGATGTGCTGCATGAATCCTCATGAGCAGTCTGATGCGTTGCCACTCCCGGGCGGAAATGACCGCCCCATGGTGTGTGTTGGGGACATGGCTTTTGATCGTGCTCGTAGGGATGATGATACATCCAAACCTTGGCAGCGCGAATGAATCTCACCAAAAAACATGTTTGTCATATCAGGATCCGTGTGCCGTATGTGTACATATATATATGTATATATATATATATATTTATATAAAGAATAAATACATGTAATGTTGACATCGTACTATTAAACCCACCCTCAAACATTAAGAGAACGTAAATAATGTGGAGGTCTGGGGTTCCTGGATTTTTTTCAGGCCTATGTATTCCCAAATGAAGTGCCTAATTGAAAACAAATACATGAGTGGACTTTCTTTCCATTTTAGCATTTCTACATGAATTGCCTACATGTATGAATGTATGTCAATGTATGAATGTCTGTCATGGTCTATCTGTATGCATTTTTGCATCTATTAGAATGCATACGCACATGTATGCATGTACGCATGTATGCATGACCGCATATGTTGCCTGCATGCATGTATGCATGTATGATCATGTATGCATGTATGCATGTACTCGTTTGGGCTCTGCTCGAATGTTCGCTGGGTGATGATGCATCAATGCATTATATCTGCCTCATTCTGCCTCAATTTCTTAGTGAATGCCACCGCAATACTGACAGCTTGTGAGGCTGCAGCAAGAACACCCAGCAGCCAGTCTTTCACAGCAGGGGTGGCGCGGAAATACACCTGGTATGATTCTTCAAGGCCGGCCATTGTCTTACGAAGAGTCAGTAGGAAGGCTCAAACAGACTGAAGTTAAATGAAGTTAACGTTCTGATGTCTCCAAGAACTTTTCATTTGCTGGCAGACTCCGCTCTTTGGCTGGGGAACGCGCAATGCCATTGCAAATGCAATCAGCCTAGCACCCCACGATGGAACCCAACAGACTCTACGAATAAGACTGGAAACTAGAAACTCTAGTGGGCCCCAGTCTTTTAGTCTTTCCCAAGACAAACCCAACCTTTCCCAACATAAGGTTGCTCAAGGATCTTCAATGTCAATCATTCAGGATTATTATATATCATTATATATCTCCATCGTCGTCTTACATGTTGAGAATATGAGAATATCGCTTCCAATTTATCGTTCTGCATCAGTACCGCACAGGATTTTTCTATTTTTCATATATTATATACATGAGTTGTGCAGGGTGCTGTCCGACCACCTCGAAAGAGCCCGAGACCAAGATGTCGTAGGGACCCCGCCTGCAGTGCGCTTGGCAAAAAAAAAAACATAAAGCTATGGCTGTTGAATGTTGGAGGGCAAGACCAAATTACGATCCCCGCCCCGTAATCTCCATGTCCAGATTGTCCCTTTCAAAGTAATAGGTCTGGAACTTTCTGGAACATAAAAATGTCTGGGCTTCCAGCTCTGCGTGCGCAATGATGGCTGGTGTTGGATCGACCATCAGGAACACATCCAAGTCGATCCACCTGGAGGAAACGCCAGCTACCAGCTATTTCCAGCTGACAGCTGGTCACGGGAGAACCAGGGGCCGGACACAGTATCTAATCCGAGATGTGCACAAACCAACGGCAAGGTGAACTTGTTCAAAATGCCAGGGCTTCCTGGCGCAATAGAGATCAAAACATATCAAGACTAATCAAGACCGTTGCAAGAGAGCATAACTGCATAACATTGCATAACCCTTCTGTCGGCTGTTTGTTGGACAGCTGTGTGAGGCATGCTCTGATCGAAGCATATCGAAGGATGTTGATCATGTTCGGTCCTCTTATGCAACGCCCACCATTCTCACTCAAACACCTGAATATGGGACGGAATGTGTCCAATCAACTACCAGACAGATCTCTAAACTTGTATCCCTTCAAAGCTGAACTAAGTCGGAAATTCCCCTGGTTTGATGCGCTGCAGAGCTCTATGAGGTAGCTTGAAAACACGTCCATTTTCACATTCGCTAGTGTCCGCATTCTAGTGCCAAGGTCAACCGTGTAAGGCGCGCGCATTTCATAGGCTTGCTGGTCAAGCCTGCAACTAAGGGTTCGAATGAACAAGTCATAAAGGCTGAACTACAACTTCCATCACTTCATCGCTGCTTGCGACACCAGACAGACTTGGACCTCACTCTGAACTGGGCTGCCAAACGTGAACAGGATCAGCCGTTCTCCGGGTATTCCCAGAGCTCGTGCTCGTGAGCAAAAGCGGCGCATGTGCCTCAAATCCATTCAAATCCAGACTGGAATTCTAAAATGACAAGCCCCAAAGATCCCCAAAGTGTGAGCTGGAATCAGCAAACAAGAGAACACAATTCCGCCAGCAAAAGCAAGCAATAGAAAGCACATTGCAAGCACCATTCCTGTAATTCCAGTTCTTTTGTGGGTTCAACTACTCAGCCAACTTGACAGGCCTGTTGAACTTCTCCCCGTAGATCATCGTCACGTACACCAAATTTGGTGCCTTGTAAACAGTGAGGTAACGGGACCGCCGGAGCCAAGACAACTTTCTATGTTGAATCGTGCTTGTCAGGATTTGTCATGTCTAAACGAGAGTTTTTGAAATTTTTGTCGCTGGGCGGATGTGCGACTGTTTCTGATCCAGGACTGTCAAGCTTCAGAGATGCTTCAGAGGTCCCACCATGTCCCGCCAATGCCTCTGGCGGAGCCCTGCCCAACTGCGGCAAAGCAGACAGGAGATCACGGAAGCTTTGCGAAGCCTGATCCTTGCAGCTCAGGACTATCCTAGCGTGCTATGTGGTAAACAGTCCACTATGAAGCAGCCATGCAGATGAAAAGGAAAAATGTCGAACTTAAACTGCAACAAACGTTTTAGGCTGGCTGTTTCTCTCTCTCCATCGCCATCCCGAGGGTTCAGAAGAGTGGACTGTTTGTACATGGCCGTTTGCGGGCATATGTTTCCATTCCCTTCCAGTCCCACCATGCCGCACCATGCCTGACCTGTGTCCCCAGGAAACGGCCGATCTCGCCAAGACTGGAGACTGACCTCAGTTCAGGAGCATTTGAAACAGTTCTGGAACATTCCCCGCGGCCACCAACGACACTCAAAAGACTCAAGTGCATGATGTATCATGTCAATGGCTGCCCTAAACACCGTCGACCATGCTGAGGCGCCCAGGATGTGCAGCGGCGAGGTTGCCAGAGAGCTCGGCCTTCTTTTATGACATAGCATCATAGCATGTCATGTTATGCAGTTTAAATAAACATGTTTTTGATGTGAATTTGCTGAATTGGGATTTTCATGTATTTTCCAGTTGAGCGTGTCTAACAAGGTCAGATGCCAGGGAAACCTCCAGGGAATATGGCAAGATGATGCAAGATGTGTCCGAAACACTTTGCTTCGTACTGAGTCGATCTAAGTTGTACATAGGATCCCCGGCCTCGGTGAAGTCCAAGAAGTATTTGTGGCGTGTGGCCTTTGTCATGTGGTTCAACAGCATGGCTAAAGGCCACCAGCCTGCCAGCAAAGAAAGACTCAAAGAGAGTGCGATTAATGATGCTAAATGATGCTAATTTTAAATTTTAATGATGCTAATAAAAGAATCCAATATAATCCAATATTATATCTATATCATTCAGTTGCATATTTATACAATGTTATACATATTTTGTATATGACATTATATGACCACGTATATGCCATGTTCATGTTGCATGAAGCGAAGCATCACAAGTATTCGCGAGACTCTCTCAAAAGTAAAGGATGTCACAGGATGTCAAAGTGAGATGCCGATTGATGCATCAGGAAGTAGTTCTTTGCACAAGTTCCATCAATGTTCCGTCAGATCTATCTGGAACATTGAGCTGGTCACTGTGTGCCAAAACTTCCACAATGTCTGGCCTTATATACTTGATGACAACAACGGCAGCCAGGATCACTGCCATGACAATTGGAAGTGCGTCATTAGAATTCATTAGATACCAGTTCGAACTCCAAACCCAAGTTCAATCTGTGAGTTCTTCACCAAAGGTTTCTCTCTCTCCATCGCCATCTCCGAGAGTTTAGCCAAGGGCTAAAGGCGAGCCCTTGGCCCAATGCTTAGCTCTGCGAAATAAAAAGCTCAGCCAACCGCTCTTTAACGAAAAATTGCTCGATCTGTCAGGGCGCTGCACAACCCCCCCCCGGACAATGCAAAAGACTGCCAAGGCAAGTGTCTAGCAAACGTCTGGCTACCTGATCGTATTGCAGGGTGACAAGTTGTGCCTGTTTCATTGTGTTTTGTCACAACAAGGTTTCAACATTTTTCAAAAGTCTCAAGGCTTTGGCTTGAATTGCTTATTCATCAAAATATAGAGAGCAACCCACCTGTGGTGTGCAACACCCTCGGCCAGCCTGATTGGCAAAGCTGTGAAAGCAGCTGCTTTCCGAAGTGGCGCATGTGAAGGCCTGATGCAAATTGGATGGCTGAAGAGTGGACCAGTGACACATGGAAAGAAGTCACAGTAGGTTTTGGTGGCTGTGCACCTACCACAAATCACCAGGCTTCACCTTGATCAACACGGCCGTGAGATAGCCCAAAGGACACTCTATCAAGACTTCCTGCAAACATGTTATTGAATCTGCATGGCGGGGAATGAAATGGGAGGGGGGAGACTCGGGAGACAAGTACAAACATTGCTCCAAAGCAATGTGTGGCAAGGCTGGCAAGGCCAGCACAGCAAGCTCTCCCCATTCCCATCCTCTGGAGTGTGGACCATCTGCCATGAGTAGACATAGCGAATAGATCCCATCATCCTGAGGCGGCCGCGACTGAGTAGGAAACTCCACGACAAGCAGTTGGTGCTTGCGATCCAATTAGCTGATCATGCTAAGCACAGCGGAAACACCCACGGGGCAGCAAAAACAACATTTGTTAAATTAATTACTTTACTTCGTGTGATCCCCACCATGACATTTATACATTTTGTTACTGGCAAATCTTTTGGCATTCTATCTGACATATCTTCTGGCATTCTATCTGGCATTCTATCTGACATATCTTCTGGCATTCTATCTGGCATATCTTCTGGCATTCTATCTGGCATATCTTCTGGCATATTATCTACTCAAATCTTCTGGCATTCTATCTGGCAAACATTCTGGCACTTTATCTGGCATATCTTCTGGCATTCTATCTGACATTTTATCTGGCATTCTATCTGGCATACCTTCTGGCATTCTATCTGGCATATCTTCTAACATTCTATCTGGCATATCTCCTTGCACTCTATCTGGCATATCTTATGGCATTTTATCTGGCATATCTTCTGGCATTCTATCTGACATTCTATCTGGCATATCTTCTGGCATTCTATCTGAGCTGGGAAGGTCCCAGGTTGAGGTCCAGCGGTGCGCACTGAGCTCGGAAGGTCCCAGGTTGAGGTCCAGCGGTGCGAAATGAGCTGGGAAGGTCCCAGGTTGAGGTCCAGCGGTGCGCACTGAGCTGGGAAGGTCCCAGGTTGAGGTCCAGCGGTGCACACTGAGCTGGGAAGGTCCCAGGTTGAGGTCCAGCAGTGCGCACTGAGCTCGGAAGTTGGCGAAGAGCTTGGCGAAGAGTTGGCAATGCGGAAGTGGAGGTGGAAGTTGATGCAGACATGGTCGAGGAGAAACTGGAGGAGGCGGAGGATGAGGAGAAGGAGGAGGAGGAGGACAACAGCTCTGATAAAATCTAACAACCCTCACCTGGCAGGTGGGGAAAAAATGTTTCACAAGAAACATCAAGAAACAAAGTGGGATGAGGGATCCAACAAGCATCTGCCCCCAACTCAGGCCCTTGCCAGTCTTTGACCTTGTTTTTTTCCCCCCAGAACAGTGATTGGAACTTTGTCCAATTTAGGACCTTAGAATTTCGCTTGTTGTTTGACATATTTGCCAGCGGTGAATTGATGAATCCGCGGTGTCTTTGCTCAGATTTGCAAGAGTAGCACATCCTTGTCGCGCTCGGCTTCAAGCTGGCAAGTCTACATGGACGCAGTTCGCAGCATCATCATTGGCTACATCAGGACTTCCTGGCACCCGGGCCACCTTGGGCCACCTATTCCTGTGATCTTTTGCTTCATGCGCAGACCGTCGTTATGACCTTTACCAAGGCCTACTAAGGCCTACCAAGGCCATCGAATGCAACCTTTCATGCACAATGATTCCATTGCCTTCTGGTGGAGGTGCTTTCCGCAGATTCTCTGACCTGAGGCGCTTGAAGGCATTGAGAAGGAAACAGTGGGTGAAACTTGTGTTCAATCTGATAAGTTTGAGCAACAGTCATAGCCCTAGGGCCTGCCAGGGAAAGATACTGCCAGCAAGCATTGAACAAAAGTGCACAACTTCCAGGCCTTCCAGGCCCAACCCCCAGTCTTCAGAATCCTGTCCTGTTTGGATCTATCAGAATGATTCAGAATGTATCACCTCTCGAGCCATCTCCCAGCTTGCAACAAGCAACGAAAGCATCAGGAACAAGGGCCACCGGGAGCCTGTACAAAAAGAATCAAAAACATTGAAAGGAGCCTGATCGAAACTGATTTCTTGCTACAGTAGGATCCTTGGACATCATAATTTGACGTTATGGACTGCTGAACTGCCATGAGCCCTGAATGGATGCTGATCTTTGGTTGGCTGGGGTAGTGCCAAAGCAGGCAAAAGCACTGAATGGAATCAGGGTGAATCAGGGTGTTGAGTTGTCTGAACTTAAATGCACTGGCAACTCTTGCTGCGCGCTGATGAGGTCGTCCCGGGTATTCTCTGAGCAGAAGCTTCAATTCTGTCAGAGCATTCTCTGAAGTCTTCCTTCCCTCTCTTGCCCGCAGAAATCTTCATGCTTCTTCGTGCTAAAACAAAGATGCGAAGAGCAGGCTGTGCCTATGATTGTTCGCAGTGGCATGGCAGCGAGCTTTGGGCCTTAAGCCAAGGAACTTGAGAGGTACGTACGAGCAACAGATTTCTGAATAAAGACCTGAAACGCAAAGGATCCTGGTTGAGAGTTGAGAGATGTTGAGAGGTACGATCCCTTGGAAGACTGGAATCCAGGTTCACCCAGGTCCCAAAATTCTCAATTCAAACGCCTCTTCTCCAAAGCTAAGGCAGCTAAGGCAGAAGCTGACAATATCTCTGTAGCTTGCCGCTACTTTCGTGTCACCTCTCACCCTGACAGAAATGTCGTGGAGGCACACCACCCAACAAAACCTCCATGCGTACATTGCATTATAATGTATATATACATATATAGGCATATATACGCAAATATTGTATTATATTGTAGTATAATTATACATGATGTTATACATGTATATCAGATCATGTATGTGCGTGATACATATCTGAATATGATTGAATATGTGAGTATATATAATGCATAATATTATACTATTAAATAATATATATATTATATTAATCTATTATATTAAATCAAGCAGGCCAGGACGACGCGGAAAAGTAGTAGAGGGCCAGCTCACCATTCAGGACGCCCAGCCTAGCTTTTGGCATCACATTGATCGATTACGAGGCGTGTGCCGCACTGTGCGCATTTCTCCAAGGCTAATTAGTATGGAGGCACTAGATTGAAATGATGAGGGAAGCCTGCGAAAACTCCTCCTGTAGCTGATACATTGCGCAGTCTTGATCATGAAACATCATGGCAAAAATTCCAAATGTTGGATGTTCTCAGCATCGGCACCGGCGAGGTACATGAAGGCCTCTGCTTTTTAAACGTTAGCTGCGGGTTTTCCAATGGATGCGCCTCCATCCAAAGCTTTGCTTTTGCAAGCGGGCGCTTTCCACTGGTGAAAATTGTCGTTTACAGCCGTCAGTTTCTGACAGCCTTTTCGTTTCACCATCATTGCTTCAAATGTCAAACTGCATGTACTTCAATCAATGCCCTTCGCTAATCACTAGGTTGGCTCCTTCTGATACTTCCTGGGACTGCCACCTGGCCAGTCAGTCAGTCTTTCGATCCTTCTGACTCCCTGTGAAGCGAGTCACCACAGCATGAATCCCTAGCCCTGCAAGAGCCCCTGCGATCGAACGAAATATGAAGCGCATGAGCTGATTCTCCTGGGTGGGGCATGGAAGGCGTCTGGAAGCCGTGGTGATGCGATATACCTTTGACACAAGGACACATAATCCGGATCACAGGTTAATTCCAACTGCATCCATTTTGACAACTTGTGTGTAGACACGGTATTATGGAAGAACAGATCCAAACTAATTATGGCCAGAGAGCCTGCAGGGTTTTGCAGTCTGTGCGTCTAGAGTCTAGAGTCTAGAGTCGTCCATGTCAACAATTTTTCTTCTTCTTCTTCTTCTTCTTCGTCTTCTTCTTCTTGCTCTCAGAGACCAGTAGAGGTACAATTGGCGTGCCACCACGCACTCTTTTGGCAATGAGCAGCTGTAGTTGGGGGATGTAGGGGTGTGCTTTTCGGAGCTAGTGTTAGGGCCAAGTAGCAAAGGGCTCTGCAATCATGTTCTTGGAGTAGTCGTTCTCCCCTTTCCTCATGCGAGCATGCGGAGCTGACCACTCATACGATTCAAGCGGAAGAATCAAGAACACGCGACTGCATGCGACTGCCAAATACATTGAGAACCCGTAGGCTACGGATCAGTTGAAATGTGCTTGAATTGTTCAGTGATAAAGTCTCAGATCAAACAGCGTCAGTGTTTCGTATTTATATAGATGTGTGGTCAAAGTCAAAGCCAACGAATATTCCCGTAGTTATGCTTCCTTATGCTTCGGTCCTGTGTCGCTCCTTCCACGTCTTGTCAAACAAAACGTCAGTTGCCCTGAGATCAGGACGCAAAGAAGAATATCAATGTCGTTTTCGTGTATCATATTGTCGAAGAAAACAACAAGTGCAACGCAATTTCCTTCACTCTTGAACTAGTGTTGGAATTGGCTGGGCGTGGAAACATCATCACTAGTATATGCTTCATTTCCTTTGATGTTGCAGCGCAAAGCCCTTTTGCAACCTGCCCTCTCTCCACGCATACCAAACGTTCCTCCGGCCACGCTAAACCCCTACCCAGGCAGCTGAGAAGGGAATCGCAGCGAACTAAGATATGTCAGGATATGCCAAGATATCCATCCGCCTGGACTGGATGGTTGTGCACCATGCTCCTAGGAGCACGCACATGCCACCAACAAAACTCATGGGGCCTGTACCCCAAATCAAGCATAGGGTGAGCACAGGCCTTTGCCCTTGCCCTCTGCTGTGGATGCGACAACTAAGCCAACAATGAGGCCATACAAGCCGAGAGCCTCTGCAAAGATGAGAATCAAGATCATTCCTGGCCCCGGCGTGGATTACTGAGTTTCACAGCTCTCCCCAGGTATAAGCTTGTGAAAGCAATCTTTCAATCAAGACCTCAATACTTTTCAATGTCAATTCATGTCAGTTCATATATATATATATATACATATGTATAAATATATATATATATATTAATTTAATTATTATATATACAATTTGTTGCTGTAGGGATGCACTACCAGTAGGACAAGAGTGTCATGTTTGTGCAGTTCTGACAAAGAAACAACTCACTCTGTGTTCAGGAGGTATGTGACATCTCATAGCAGGACCGCCGCTGGCCTACAAAGAGCCGAGGCTGCTGCGCATTTGCTCGTACACCAGCATCGCCCACAATTCCAATGGCAAGGCCCGCAGCGAGGGAACTCATCCCCACAGTAAGTCCAGCGCCAAGATGCGCATAGCCTGAGTAGGCAGAGTAGTTCGCGGCATCCATCTTGCCTGAGATACCAAAGGGAAACGCCAAACAACTGTTGGCTGCACTTTGCCGACGCTGACGTTATGGAATGTGATGGAAGTTCCAAAGAATGTTCAGAATGGCAATCAACACCGTTGGGATGGAAAAGCAGCTTCAACCAGGGCACGAAACGGGTGCATGCTCTGGGTAACCATTTATTATAGTATTTGGTGATTTGGCCCGGGTTGATTCCGTCAATACCTTTGCGAAAATACCCACATGATCACAGCAACACTCCCCAAAACCAATGTAGAACTTCAGGCTGGCTTCTCCAAGCTCAAGCCCAACACCAAATCATTGTCAGGAAACTATATATATATATGATTATATATATATATATGTGTGTGTATGTAAATATAACTATATATAATAATGCAAAACATATAAATAGATATAATCATATATCATACATTATATAATATATATAGAATAATATATATATAATATATAGAATAATATATATATATATAATTATATATATATAATGTCTAAATTGCCATTGAAACATTGCTGCCCCGCGGTGACAGCCCAGTTGTTCAATCTATTCTGCAAATCCAGCCGTTCACTGAACTCCAGGTCTACATCACTCCATCGTTCCCTTGGCCCAGCCACCATTGATGATCACTGCAGTGATGAGGCCGTAGATGCCCAACACACCCGCCATGACCACGGGAATGATGGACTTCCTGCCACTGTGGGACCATGAAACTCAGAGTGACTTCAGGGAGACCTTGGGACCTGCACATAACCTATAGGACCTATAGCCTATAAATATCTATAAACAAGATGCAAACAATACCCTAGAGTTACCCAGAGTAAACTAACAAATATTCATATCATTAGTCAACCATGATCAAGCCAGCCTTACGAGACAAGTCCCTTGCTGGACTTTCTTGGACAATTAATTCCAAAATTTGTCACAAATTAAATAGTGTTTTGTCTGAAAGACCGCTGATGATCCTGATGGCTACTAACATAACAAGTCACGGGAATCCCCGTCCAAAATCAAGGTCTAAAATCTCCACTCTGAAAAATATTGCTTCCACACTGTGGGCAAAAAATGCAAAAACCCCATCATTCACAACCCCCCGCCCGCAAGAGTTTGACTTTCGTTCCTCCTTTGGAAAGTGGAATAAATACAACACACCCCAACATACCCCAACTGAAACGGAAACACGACTGAACACGATGAATCCAAGTATGATCTACAGTACCAATCTGGCATAATCAGTCCCTCTATTCTGTAAATGTTCATCCTGCATTGCCTGCATGTGCAGAAATCCCATGAAATCGATTGAAATCCCGTGACAAATCACACGGCAATCAAACCTTGAGCAAGACCAAGTGGAAAAAACTTGGTTGCAACGTTTTGGACCACATTGTTCTACAACGTGTTTCAACATGTTTCAACCAAGTGGCATGATCATATCTGGTCGCATGACACCCATGGAGGCAATGCCCACACCTGACTTGGCAGTCCCATAGGCCTTGGAGAATTCTTGGGCTTGGAAGGATCCGGGGGTTGAGCACCTTACTTCCTTGATCCAATTCTAGATTGAATTGGGAAACGGAAAAACATTTGAAAAAACATGCGAAAACTCTATAATTATATACTGTAAGAAGATTGATGTAGGATGCCTACCATGGTTTGGTTTGCATATTATGTTTGCATGATTTTGAATGACCTTGCCATATTTTACCATCAAGTACGGCGTACGGGATTTTCGGAAGGTTTCCTGCAAGGGCTTAGGCCATCAAGGTGCAGCTCCCAGGTTCGCAAAGACCAGCGCTGACGTCACTCCCATGAATCCAAAGAAGGCGGATGATGGATCGCACGGCTGCATGGTGACAGGAAGTGCCCGCTGGAAGTGCCCGCTGGAAGTGCCGGCTTTGTGTCAGCGATCTCCACTAGTCTCCACTGGGCAACTCTGTGCCGAGAAACAGCGGCAATGAGAGAGGCAAGGACTGAATAAGACATGAAGCATCATGAAACCCACTGCTGTGGCAACACATATCATATCAAGTCATATTAGGTCATGAAAGCCTCTGCCAATGCTGCAACGCAATACTCTCGTCTAGCAAGTCACCACTGATCATATGTTTTCATGCTCAGTTGTGCTTTGAGGATTGAAATTGTTCTAAGAGCAGTAATCCACCAGTCAACAGTCGTGATCCGTGCCTACACGCTGGATTTTGTGCTGACACTCGCTGCGTTGCTCCTTGACATCTGTCTGGATATGCGCAGTACGCATAGCCTCCGCTGCAAGTATGTCAAAAAAGTGCGCAGCCCCCTGCGTTTTCTCGTGGGTCATGAGTGATAGCGGGATGTTGCGAATCAAGTCTCCGATAAGCCGATAATAATTAATTATACAATGGAAGGGGACCTGTGGATTTGCACGCTGCTCTTTGCATCTTTGACAATTTTCAGCGTCCTGTCGCGTGCCCGTAACGCGGCAGAACCAGGAAAGGAAGCTGGCACATATGCGCATCATTGCACGTTGCATGTAACTGAAATCTTGCCGCATCTTGCCGCAAAGAAACTGATGGCCAAGCCATTCCGCACCTGCTGCCCCTGGTTGCTTCCTGCAGAGTGTAGGATGAAGCCATCGTGCCAAGCCACATCACCGAGTTCCAGGGCGTCATCCTGCTCAGTCCTGATGCAACTAGAACAGCCATCAACGTCCTCCAACCTCACTATTTATACTCACTATCCTCACCAAGCCAAAAGTCAGTGAAAGTCAGTGTTCATCCTTTTTTATCCTTTGTTCATCATTCTTTCAGTCCTGGAGGTGGCGAACCAAGCGAATTCCCAGCCCCAGAGGCTCGCAAGCAACTGCTCGTACCACTCGTACCTCAGGCCCGGTTCGTTTTTTTTGCCAGGGCATCTCAGAGAGTATGTAAAGGGATCCTACATCTTCGAAAGTTGCAAACATGGTTTGGGGTCCATAGTGAGCGAAATTGGACCGTGTTGGGCAAGTTTACGGTTCCGTAACCTATACTTCAACAAAGCTCCCTTGTAAGCGGGAGATCGGAATGCCTACTATATAATCCTTACAAGTCCTTTACAATACATACATATACTATCATATAATCATATAGTCTTGAAATGGATGCCGTGGCACGAGAAAAATGCCCACAGCACGTGGCTCCCAGGGCCTGATTAATGCAACTAGAATGGCCCATGCCCAACCACTTCCTCAAACATCCTCAAACCAATGCAGCCTACATGCTCTCGGCGATGGGTACCTATCAAATATCTCAAGGTGCCCAGCTCTTTGCCCATAGCTTTCAGAGGTATCCATGCATGCACTGTACGGATTCCTGGTGTCAATCAAGAATGGATTCAAGATAGACTGGCCTGATTTGTTTTGGCGGATTTCCTAGCATTTCCTAGCTCTTCCTGCCCAATTTGTGCCTTGACAACACTTGGATGCCTTGGCACATGTCACATTGGCCATTTGCTATGTCAACAATTGGTTGAACAAATCGAAACGAGGAAAGGCAGCTCCAGCTCCTCCATGCAATGCTGGAATGCCAACTGCTTCATCATCACGATGCCAATGTGTCTCAGGATCTCCAGGATCCTGCCAGATTCATTGGTCATAGCTGCCATAGTTGTTTGGTGCTCCAGAGGGATTGTCGTCCCATGTCGTCCCATTTCGGGTGGAAAGTTACTTTTATGACACAAATTCAATTTGACAAAATCTGAAACCACCAACAAGCTTGGTAGTGATGTGGTGGTAAATCAGTTTCCCACCAAACTTTGCAACACAAGTAGGGCATGGTGAAGCCCACTAGCTGCTTTTGGTTTTATCGTGGACCAGTCCTTGGCAAAACCACGGTCCATCAGAACGCAAAGCTCTTCCGTCCCGGCTAAACGAGCAGCCTGGTGCAGCGGTTGTCCATTGGACAGGAACCCAACATATGTAACCCAATGTCAGTGCGCGTTTACATGTATAGTTTCCTTTATGTATTCATGTTATTTCAGCTTCTGTCCATTTTTTTGTTGGCATAGCATGTCGTACTGATGTACAATATCCTTCGCTGTTTCTCCCTCTCTTATTTTTTCCTCCTGGTGTCCATTCAAATCACATACTAAACATCTTGAAGTTCAATGTCATCATTTACAGGGCCTATGCACGTTTGCAACTTCCGCACCTCCTGCCACAGGGAACCACTCTGCTTGCTGACGAAGTCAGCTACCGTACCTGACCAGAGTTGGGTGCCAGCGGGTTGACCGCTGTCTGGTAACAGCCAAGGTGCGGTCCAGCTCATGCACGGCAAAGGTGAACCGCACTTCCTGGCATGGGAGATGGAGCTTGGAGGTAGGCAAATACCGTATACTACAGTTGCATAGTTTTCTTATTTTTCTTACAGTTGGCCGGACAAGAAAAACTGATCTCTTTTCAAAGGTTCATCGACAGAAACCCTCTGTGAGTTTGCAGGGCCTGTGACTTTGCAAGCACAATTGCTGCAGCCCTGCCGAGCAACGCGCAATCCCTTTTTTGCATCTGGGCTTTCAATGCTGTCTCCTCAACTTCTTCACTTCTCTCAACTTTCTTGTTGAGATTTTCTGTTCATCCTATACAAGCATTGAAAGTCTAGCCCGTGGATTTGGGTTCTGGTGCCCTGTTTCGAAGGTTCATCTTCTCAGCTTCTCCGATCAACTACATGAACCCTGCTGCTCGGGACGAGGCAGCATCGCCCGCAGTCTGCGCGAAGTCTTTAGCTTGGCTAGCCAGTTCCTGCCAACAAATAGTGTGATATTAAATATAGATATGTATAATGACATATATAATATGTATATATATATATATATAAATTATATATGATTACATAGCAAATAACTGTGTGTACGCGTGTGTGTGTGTGTGCGTGTGTGTGTGTGTGTGCGCGTTGGTGTGAATATTAGAGGCCCTTTTCGAAAGTATATGCAGTATACAATAGTTAGGCACACACTTCTTGCTCTTTAACTTGATGATACCCTCCAAACCAAAGGCCCAGGCCCAAACATGGACACATTTTTATTGGACCTGTTTTGCACAGCTGTCCTTGGAGGTCTGCTGGGCATTCTCTGCTGCATCAAGGGCCTTCGCCTGAGCAGCCTGGACACGGTCCACCGAATTCGTTCGGATTTCTTCATGATCGTTGTTAACTCGTTTTATATTCGTTGTTATAGGGACATGTTGCAAAACGATATGTGTTTACATGCTTTCTATCAAGAACAGCACTTGCCTGCAAATTTTGCCTTCAATCAACAATTCCGGGATGTTGAGTTCCCCAATGGCCAGTGGATGTCCATGAGCCGGGCATGTGTGATTTTCCTACTGAAATCTACTGGATACCATCGAACAACTATTGCTGGATTTATGATGATTTACGAACCCCTTTGAAAAATCTACCGATGTACTTGGGATCATCCCAGGTAGGATGGGAATGCGTTTATCAGTTTCCCCCACTGGTCTCAGAAGAACACGCAAGGACATGAATCGGGGCATTCCGGGTACCCATGGACACCCCACTGCCTTAAAGGAATCGCTTTCCGTCACTTGTTTGATGATCTCCTGCACGCGTTCCTTGGTGAATGTTGAAATTCAGGCCGGCAGGCAAATCCCATACATCAAGAGGCTACGGTTAATATCGGACACCATGCGTTTGTTACAGTAAGTCTTTGACAACGCTCTAACTTGTCCCTGTGCAGCGGTCTATCTATCATTCATCCAGGTTTTTGCCAGTCTTTCACCTAGCAACCCATCATTACCATGCATTAACCCCAAATATTGTAATATCATATATCCCGTCAATCCCATCATATCCCCATCATCCAAATCCTTTCTGCCGTGTTTCTGAAAGCTTTTCGATTTCATCAGTGGCGGCCACCTCCATCTGGGCTGCCTGCTGGTGAGCTGCCTCCACCATGGCCACACCCTTTCCACGGAGCTGATCGAAGTCCAAGCCCTTCTCCGACATGCGCTGCACGGAGGCCTCCAAGCCTCACTGCCCGTATCCATACAGCGTGAACCACGATGCATGATCAATGAATCGTGCATGTGACATGTTTGACGTGAAAAATATCATACAAGTAGAGCCCGGGCAAGCCGGGTGACGGAAGTTTCGAGAGAGGGAAGAACCTATATATATATATGTATATATGTATATATATATATAGACTCGACAAGGGAGAGCCTATAGGAACAGCGCCTGGCGCCCTGGCTGGCACAGCCGTTGACTGCGTGATCTCTTGGAAGTCTTTGTCCTTGACATTTCTTGCTCTCAGCATCTTTGTCTGATGCTGCCACTTTCTCTTGATCCGGCTTGCTCCTGGCATTTCTGAATCTTGACAGCCCTTCTTGTCGACAGCTCCCTGGGGCCAGAGACTTGACACATTCTTCTCTCCTGACAAGTTTTTTCTGATGTCATCGCTGTCTCTTGAAACCGATGTCGTTTCAGCCGCTTTCTGTTGACAATTCTTTCTCTTGGCATCCTTATCTTTGGGCATTTCTTTTTCTTGAGACCTGCTTCTCTTGACATTCTCTTCTCTCCGCATCTCATTCTCTTGGCACGGTTTTCGCTTGGCACCATTATTCTTGTTTCCTATTGTTTCGCACTTTTATTTTGAAACCTCTTTCTGTTAAAATTGTTTCGTTTGACACCTTCTGTCTTGACATCTCCTTTTTCCTGAAGCCTTTTTCATTCTCACATCTCTTTCTTTTGACATTTTCGTACCTTGCAAACAAAAATCACCATGTGTATTACAAGACTTGAACAAAATCCTTACCACAGAACCTGCCCAAAGTATTTCCCAGTATTACTTCGTACTTCAAAGCTTGCACAAAGTACTTCCCGGTACTACTTCGTACTACACACAAATTCCTTCCCAGTACTACTTCGTACTACAAAGCTAGCACAAAGTACTTCCCAGTACTACTTGGTACCACAAAGCTTGCACAAAGTACTTCCCAGTACTACTTCGTACTACAAAGCTTGCACACGGTACTTCCCAGTACTACTTCACACTACAAAGCTTGCACAAAATACTTCCCAGTACTACTTGGAAACAAAGCTTGCACAAAGTATTTCCCAGTACTACTTCGTACTACAAAGCTTGCACACGGTACTTCCCAGTACTACTTGGTACTACAAAGCTTGCACAAACTACTTCCCAGTACTACTTCGTACTACAAAGCTTGCACAAAGTACTTCCCAGTACTACTTCGTACTACAACGCTTGCACGAAATACTTCCCAGTACTACTTACCTGGTACTACAAAGCTTGCACAAAGTACTTGCCAGCACTACTTCGTGCACAAAGCTTGCACGGTACTTCCCAGTACTACTTCATACTACAACGGTTGCACGAAATACTTCCCAGTATTTCCCAATACTACTTGGTACTACAAAGCTTGCACAAAGTACTTGCCAGCACTACTTGGTACTACAAAGCTTGCACACGGTACTTCCCCTTACTACTTGGTACTACGAAGCTTGCACACAGTACTTCCCCTTACTACTTGGCACTACAAAGCTTGCACGCAATACTTCCCAGTACTACTTCGTACTACAAAGCTTGCACAAAGTACTGCCAAGTACAGTATTACTTTGTACTGCAACGCTTGCACAAAGTACTTTCCAGCACTACTTCGTACTAAAAAGCTTGCGCAGCAAAGATTTTACACACAGAAGCTTTTCACACACAGAAGCTTTGAGACAAAAAACTTTGTCTCACAGAAGCTTTCACACAGAGAAGCTTTTAGACACAAAAGCTTTTCCACATGTAAGCTTTTACACAGAAGAGCGTTTACACACAGAAGCTTTTACACACAGAAACTTGTGCACACAGAAGCTTTTACACAGAGAAAGTTTTTATATACAAAAGATTACAAAAGCCTGTACACACACAGAAGCTTTCGCACTGTCACTTTTGCACAGGAGACTTCTACACAGAAATTGCAGCTCCAAAACTGGATCTCGACGCCAAAGCAAAAACAACGATTGGTTTTGAAGCACTTTTCAAAAGATTCAAAATTCAAAAGTAATTTTAACAGGAAAATCATCAGCGCCAAAATTGAGAAAATCAAGGTTCCCAACATCGTGCGAGAAAACATAGGGTTTCGTGCGATTCCTAACGTCCAAACATCACGTTGACACAGCAGCTCCACTGCGATCTGCAATCACTGCCTTGCAAAGCACTGTACAACTGCGTCGACCAAGGCGGCAACCCACAACATGGATGGAGCCATTACAATGCGATCTGCACACCTGAATTCAACTTTACAATGCAGGACGCGTCCGAGCGAAACCGAGCATGAGCCGCACCCGTCGCACAGACAAGGTTCCCAACATCGATGCCGGGAGCCACTTTGTGCGAGAAAACGCAGGGTTTCGTGCGATTCCTAACGTCCAAACATCACCGGTACACAGCAGTTCCACCGCGATCCGCCATCACTACCTCGCAAATCAGACTAAATGCAACATATTACAACTGCCTCACTCCATCTCTAATCTCTCCACATCCCTACTCTCTCCATCTCTAATCTCTCCACCCTGCTACCTACTGCTACCTACTGCTACTACTGCTACCTGCTGGTACTACTGCTACCTACTACTACCTACTACTACCTACTACTACCTACTACTACCTACTACTACCTACTACTACCTACTGCTACGAGTACCTACTACTACTACTACTGCTACTACTACTACTACTACTGACTGCTACTACTGCTACTACTGCTACTACTACTACTACTGCTGCTGCTGCTGCTGCTGCCACTACTACTACTACTACTACTACTACTGACTGCTACTACTGCTACTACTGCTACTACTGCTACTACTGCTACTACTACTACTACTACTGCTGCTGCTGCTGCTGCCACTACTACTACTACTACTATTACTACTACTACTACCACCACCACCACCACCACCAGTATTACAACCACCACCACCACAACCACCACCACCACCACCACTACTACGACTACTACGACTACAACTACGACTACGACTACGACTACGACGACTACTACTACTACGACGACGACTACTACTACTACTACGTACTACACGTACTACTACTACTACTGCTGCTGCTGCTACTACTACTACTACTAAATCTCTCCACATTTTCACTGTCCGTATCACGAAGTTTAGACTACTAAACTTCCTTTGATTAAATATGTATTCTGTATGATTTTGTATGATCATGCATGTATATTCTGTGACATTATCATCATATATTATCATATTATATCATATTGTCATATCTCGTCATGACGTCTGCACTGATGCGTGTCTGCCCTCGTTCCGAGGCACTTCCACCGCCCAAGGCATCAATCTCCTTCTGCATCTTCTCAACGCTGCCCTCCTTGCGGTTCACCTTCTCCTTCAAGGCGTTCAGCCGAGCCTCGGTATCTGCGTACAGCTGAGCCAACTCGGAGCTCTCGCGCATGGACACAGCGAACTTGGCCGTCAGCACGTCGCTCTCTGCACGGAAGAGGAAAGCCTGGCAAGGTGCATCGTGTCAGCATCGTGTCAGCATCGTGTCAGCATCGTGTCGTAGATTCAAGTTGACATAAATTGACCAATGCATGAATGTAACATTGATAGAATTACTCCATTTCACGGCAAAAAAATGCATGTATGCCGTATGCCGTATGCCTAATTATACCGCATTATACCTATATAATCAATGTGATACAATAATATACGACAGAACATAATTGTAGAAGAATGACAAGTAACACAAGATAAAACAACATAACAGAATGATATGTGTCAACATAAAACAACATCACAGAAAAATGCGCAGAATGTTTCCAAAACTCTTCATGTTGTGTGTCAAGACTTAAGGAAGCTGGAGAGCAATCACGGTTCCCCAGAAACCAGTCAACATGGGCATGCAGGAGCATTGAGCCATGTTGAGCCCTTGGCTTTTCTGCCTTGACAAGCAATTGACCAGCTGGAATTCCAAAGTTGGCACTGTCGAGGAGACGAGCTTGCATAGAAATCTTGGAGGACACAGCACTGGAGTTCAGGACAGATTGGAAGATCCAAAGGGCCACAGTCACCTCGGCTCATCTCGGCTCCGTAGGGGCAGGCTTTAGCAAGTCACTACAGTACTTTCCCATAATTCATGACAATAATAATCATAAATCATCAGTCATAATCATCTCATATTGTCTCTATATTATATAATAATTACCGTAATTAGTAATTATAGCTATCTCAGCGCATGCAGGTTACAGACTACGTAGTTGCCTTAATGGCCCATCCCATCCCAGCATGCTACGGTCGCCTTCACTTTATCATACTTTATCTGTAGCTTTCCAAGTTGCCAGGTTCATAAAGAAGAACAGCACAGCGACCAACAAAGCCACCTTCGAAGCGCAAACGGTGACCCAAGCTGCGCAGTAGCTGGGATCCTCTGCCGCAGCTGGATGGAAGGCCACAACACCTTGCACAGTCTTGCACTGGTGCAGCAAAACATGATATACATGATTATACATGATGGAAACTGATGGAACTATGAGATATACTATGATATACTACTGATATACATGATGGAAATTGATATAAATTGATATTATAAATTGATGGAACTATGAATCTAGCAGCAAACATAGCAAACCTACTTTTGAGGGCATGCAGGAATGATATAGAATGATGAGGGAGAAAAAAAAAAGAAAACCAAATAAAACCAATGTCATTGTGCAGTCGTCCAACCTTGCCTGGCACAAACATGTAGGCAAAGTAGAGGTAGGTGTTGTAGAAAGTGCTGAGGAGCCAAATGAGCGTTCCAAGGCCAATGATGTGCGACATGACGGGTGACGTGCAGTGGCTCTCACAAACCACAGCCTGTTGAAGTGTGGAGGCATGCGCCGCAAAAAGTTCCCGAAGATCTGTGAAGCTCAGATCGCGAGGATCCTTCTCCAGGTGAGCCAATTTGGATCGCACAGCTTCGGACTTTGCGCGCAGGTCTCTTTGCGCCGAGGTGATGCGCTTCATCATGATGAGCCGGCAGCACATCACCAGCAGCACCGTGCAAGCAGTGATCCGTGCCCAGAGCCGCAGCCCTGGGATGGAAGTGCATGAGTGGTCACGGTCAGCATACTCTGAGAGAGCAGTCACCACCCCAATGGGCAACAGCACCAGGAAGACTTGAGACACATGGCAGGCGTAATTGATGCTCAAGTTCACAGGCACCAGCAAACCAGCCAGAAGCACGGAGAGGGACGGGAAGTTTGCGGAGATGTTGGAGTCCCATTCCAAAATTGCAGCGCAATCATCGGCCTCCAGTGCCTTGCCAACAGAGCTCGCAGCACTGTTCAGCTCATTCATCACCAAAGTTTTCAGCCTTTCTCCAAAGCCTTGTGCCTTACCCTGGAGGATTTGCACAACATCTCCATCTGCCGAGAGCTTTGAACCAAACCTTTCCTTCGCCTTTTCGATCATATCTTCAGCCTGCGACGTCAACGCTTCGCTAGTGAGAGCTGATTTTTCTGCTTTGATGCTGCCTGCTTCCACATCCTCAGTGGTTTGCTTGTCCTTGTTAAGGTAAAAGTAGGCACCAGCAGCACCTGCCACAATGACAACAGTGCCCACAATTGTGCCTGTCCACCAGGGATCGGCCATTGCAGTGTGAACGACTAACATCATCGAGCTTTCACTGCTTTCAGCGCCATCTGCACTGAGAGTTGACTTCTCCGTAGGATGCATGGCAGTGGCAACTGCCAATGCCAAGGAGATCAGGACCTTCATCACACAAAAGAGCTGTGTTCAAGCACTTGAGTGTGGCTGCATTAAAGACCGGGAGTCTTGAGCGACAGGCTGCAGACCGCGTTGTTGAGAATGAAGAGTTCCAACTAGTTCCAACATGAAAGAAATTCAACTACTAGTGGAAATGAGAGTGGCATAGAATGACTACCCAACCCGCTGCCCCCATCCTTCCGTCAATTTCTGCAACCTGAATTTAAAACCTCGCCCATACTGGTCTGCCCTCATGCTCTGCCACCTTCTCGCCCTCGTCTCCGAAGGCGCGCCGGCCGTGTTCAGAAAGTAAGTCTTCCAATGTGGCCTTGGGACATATTCTATCGATTCTACCTCACCCCGTTGGAAGCTGCATGTTGGCGGCTGGGGGTTTCTGTTTCACCTCCATCACACCACACCACAAAAATTACCAAACAAAGCTACCAGTAGGCTATATTTGGGGGGTGATTGATAGTCATAGATGATCTGGTTGGGTGACGTCCATTCTCTTGAAGCGATCTTCCCCGCTTACTGTAGCAAGACCACTGCAAGTGAAGAGGCAAAGGTTGTCTTCCACGGCAATCTTCAACTGAATCCGTTGAACTGCCTGGATGATCCATATCGCATCATATCGCCCCCCCTCTTAAAACGTCGTGCTGTCTGCATCAGAGATGCTGCTACCGTTCTTACTTCATCAGTTGCCAGGAGCTGCCGGGACAGAAACCAGCCGCCCTTGCGGAACGCAACGACATCCTCAAACAGCAGAAGGCATTGACGGAGGTGCATACGCTTTAAATCGTTTTAACCTGTGCCATTCTGGCATTCTGGCTGTGCACCGCACGAACCAATTGTAAGCTCTATGTGGCCATGTCTTCCCATGCACGTGCATGGACTAGGCTGCCATGAAAGGGAGAACATGTTGGTCTCATCAAAAACAAGACAAGGATAGACAAGGACTATGCGTACCTCTTCTGTCTTGTTTGCAGCCCACGCTAGCCGGTCGCCCAACAGGATGCAGAAGCAAGCGAGGCGTCCCATGAATCACAGCCACACCGCTGCTAATGAGACAGGGATTGATTAAAATGGCTGCATGGATCTGCAAGGTCAAATCCTTCGAAAACATGCGGGGAAACAATCTTGCAAATGGTGGCAATTATCCAATTCATTCCATGTCCATCGATTCCATCAACTCCCCATGTGTTCAATTGTATTCCTATCCGTCCTCCCTGAAGATGCATGGAACCCTGCCGAATCTGCGGCAGTTGAGGCTTCAATGAGCTTCCGGACGGGCATGCTTCCACCCAACCTAGGTGGCAGTTGAAAATGGGCAGCGGTGAAACCAACACAGCCCATGAGACACATCACCCTACCGTGCACAACACCTACGCCTCCCAAAACTCCCATCCGGTGACATCTAGCGTTGAAAGCTGGCCAGCCGGTCAAGCTGATCGGAATCGGATCGGAATTTTCATGTCTTTTTTGCCATTCGCTTCAACCGTCAGTGTCGGCCGCCTCCTGCGGTTCAGAAAAGTACTTCAGAGACACAACAACAACACGCCTGCCCACCCGGAGAGCGTGCGTGCGTGGAAATCTCCCCCTAGGCCATGATCGCAGAACTCAATCAACAGTACCGGCTTGTAGAACCGGAAACATGAGAACGCGATGACAAAGACAATGAGTTGATATATAATGACGATCAGTGATGTATACACATGTTTTAACATGCAATAAACGATTGCAAAAGTCATGAACACTAACTCTGTTGCCTTGGCCCTTTTCTGGGGAATCGCAATAGGGCCCTGCTTCGAATAACAGCAACCGCTGACCAGAAGCAAAGCCCTCGGTGCCAGTGAGGGAATACTGTATATGTATATACACATTATATACACATATATATACACTATGTATACTCTGATTATTCGCGAGGGTTGCTTCTCGAACCCCTCACTTGGCAAACGCATCCTAAATTTACAGTATATACAGTATATAAACACAATCAAATTGACAAATTGGAACATGAGCAAAACTGGCAAAAAAGCGACGGTCAAACATCTATACTGATGACCTCCTGTCGCAGCCTGTGAATTCCAGTGGTTTGGTGCTGAAGCTCTCCAGCGCATCCCTTCCAAGACTGTCCCTGAGTACAAGTTTCGGCCTCAGGATGACTCCCTAAGCTGTTGAGGCAGCGCCAGGGCTGTCAGTGAGCGCAAAACATCTCTGATTTGGTGGAATCTGCCAATTCTTTTCGATCCATTTCTTCCTAGGTCCTAAATACACTCTGCAAGCTCAACGAGTCGACTCACTGGCAATGGGCGAACCTGGATTCCCAATGCAGGGCTTCATTCGACGGGCATGTTCAAATATGCCGACCTTGCTCCGGTCACACTAAGGTTGATGCAATATATCTAGCCAAAATCTAGAGCATCGAAAACCTATCAAAACCATGTATATAAAATATCATTTACAGAACTAGCAGCACAGTAGTAACTGGCAACTGCCCAGAACAGGAATGTTATAGATGAGGATCAACTGGGTTGAACATGCCCCAAAGTAAAGGCTGCACGCAGTGCAAAATGTGTTCTTGACAAGGAACCTGCGGCATTCTAATGTTGGAGGTTGCTTGTTGCAATCAGGTATGAGAAAAACAATAGAAAACAGATAAAAACAGTATATAATTTATAACTTATAATTTATAACTTATAACTTATAACTATAAATACAGTAAGCATAACGAGACGAACATCGCGAGATGACAAAGCGTGAAAGGAGACTGTATCGCAAGATGAAAGAGACGTGAATTTGGAAGTGAAGGACAAATGCAAAAGATTGCAAAAGAGATGTTAGCACACCAGCTTGCGGTACCCGGTCAATTTCACCAGCTTGCATATGAGAACTGCTGGACTTGCTACGACAGCGCGCAACAACATGCAACAAATACCTTGATACATTCAACCAAAATCCAGTGGGCAACATTCCTGTCATGTTGCATTGCAGCAAAGTGCAACGTACTGACATCCTAGATGGTATTCATCTATATTATATATCATTATAATATTGGTTTCATGCTTTCCTTCTGGCAAAATTGAGAAAGTGTCACCGAAGCAAAGATAATCCTGTGGTCCGGGACCTGACTTCAGCTTGAAAGGCGCTGAACAGGCGGTGCTTCATCGTTTCATTCGCTCACTATTCTTCCTTTGCGGGTCTTCCCTTCTATGACATTCTATGACTTCAAATATTCTCGAACCAGCAGTGTAGCTGCAGGGCTGCAGGGCTCTTGAAAAAACAATGGCCATGTTTAAAAAAGGATCGTTTCAATTCATTACAAAAAAGGTGGCAGTTCTGTATCAATTCTTGAATGATCTTAAATGCAGCTTCTGCATGCTTCTGCCAGGGAAGTATCTTGAGCACTCTTATGGCAGCCATAATAACAACTCCTCTGCCGCTCACAGAGCGCCTTGTATTGTAATCTGTCGCTCAAGACCGCACCTACTCCTCGGTTCTGCTATTCCTCCCACCTGAGTTACTGAGTAACACATCTGCAGCTGCGGGTTGCAAACACATGCAAACTTGCACTATAGAAACAGCCACACTTGAAAAGACTGCGATAGTGCATGCGGTGTTCATGAAGTTGGTTTATCAACACGACCATTTAAAAATCACTGAAATCCATGGCAATCCAATTTAATGTGAGAATGCTACAATATGAATCAGGTAGACTGCCTTGAAACACAAAAAGTACATGCACAGGTAATCCAAAGCTACAGAAATCAAATGCAATACTACGATTCTAAATATACTATACTGTACATAAATTTAAAATTACCAAGCAGAACGTGATTCATTATTAGACACGAACGTGTTTGCATAACTAATAGTCAGTCTGGACAGAAATGTAAGAACTGCTAGTGGCGCAATCCATAATACTCTCGAGGATGAGACGCAAAGCTGAACTACCTTGCTCACTGTTTATCCGCACGTCTGTGCCCGTCTGTGCAAAAATGCCTGCTCACGTGTATGTTTCCTGAGCGTGTGAACCCTTCCCATCTCGCTGCAAACGGTGCTATCTCAGGTTGAGCGCCATGAATTCCATTCATGTTCTATTGATTGATTAATTGCTGGGCATGGCATTTGCCTCACTTTGCAAATCAGCATTTTGGGTGGCAGGAGTTGTGAGCCCGGTGCGGAGGGTCCAACGATCGGCCTGTGGGGCCTGAGCCGGGGCCTGACCGGTAGGGTGCTCCGGTTGGACCACGTTGAATTGGAAGAGCCGATGCAACTTTCTGGGGGGCTCCAGGCCCAAAGCTGCAATGTCCCGGCGGGGCGAAATCTCCCACTGCGCAGCCTCCATTGAGATTTCTTGCCTATCAAAACTTGGCTTTCTCAGGCTGCTTCTGCTATCTTGAGCACTGGAGATTGCGACAAGTCAAGGTGTGGATTCGAAGGCGCGTGCAAGCTTTCAACTTGTTGAAAAGGTTTGCAACACAAAAGATGGGAACTCTCTCCGTGCCATTTCCTTCCCCATATTGACATAACCATGATTGCCTCACCAGTGCGGGCCGAATAACTCAGGATTGCAGCAGACTAACTGAGGCATCCCCACTATCGTACGCCTCCTCATCTCCGTCCATGAAGATGTCGAAGTACCTTGCATGGACTGATGGACAAGGGCTTTGCAGCACAAATTTAGCCATTTTGATGGCAAGTACGGAGTGTGTCTGGGACAACGGCAGATTATAAGCCTTGGGTTGCTTATGGTTGCTTCAAGCAGAACCCCCCTGTGGCATCCTGTGGCCACGTTGGCATACGTTGGCATTTCTGCTGACGTTTAGCGAGTTTGCCCTGACTTTGTGCTGAGTTGCCTTTGGCCTTCTGACGTCCACGCACGCGGCCCCTCCAAGGCAATGGCAGACTGAGGGTCTTCCGGCTGAGTTTTAGATGGGGATGCGGGGATGCATATCGTCTCCAAAATGGTCTACGGCCTACGATTGACTAATCACAAGATGAACATAGATGAAGGATGCTCAGGGCCAGGGCCTTCTCGAAGATTGCCAACCTGAGTCATCGTCAGTCATCCTCCTCTCACTTGGCACTGTCACGCTGGAACGGCTGCTGATGTAACTGAAACAACTGGTTGCAACCAAGAAGCCAGTGAGGCCAATCGATGCCATTCAAAACACCCTGAGAAAAATTGCCAGCGCAGGACAAGAATCTGGTCCATGAACGCTTCCAAGCTGCAGAACTCATGCGGGCTTGATTGATTGCATCCTTCTACAAAACCCGGAAGGACTTGGCCACAATGACCTTGGCCCCGAGCAACACCGAGGCAGTCGTGGTCTGGGAATAGTGGTCCCTCCGGCATGACGGGAATCACTTTCCCTGATGCCTCGGCCATTCATCAAGTGAATTGCATATGATATGACTTCACATGACTTCACCCGGCACTTCTCCCACTGCAAATGCTTTCCTGGGAACCCCAGCTGCGAGACCCAACCATGTAAGCCATAGCGACATCCACCTAGCTGGGGGTTAGCTTCTGCAATGGCTGGGGTCCACATGCAGCATGCTGAATGCAAATAGCAACAAGTACCCGAGATTACTGGAGTAACATGGAGTCATGGAGTATATAGCAAAATATGCCTGCCGCTTCGTGGCTGGAAAATCTATCGCAGCTGTGCTAGCAATTGGGCCGCCTCATGCCGCCTCATGCGTTCCGAGCCAAGGAGAGGTTACTAGACGCCAGAGCAGCCAGCGATGGCTGATGCTAAAGTTTCATGTTCTGAAAAAATGGTGACCATGCGGCAGGGTCGGTTGGCATGTATCTGGGTCGGTTGGCCTGCGCTGAATGTTTGTCCCTCTCACCCGGTCCCAATCAGCATAATTCCAAGATCCAAATAATACGTTACTGGATGTTACTGGAATACTGTAATATACTGTGCTGCAATTGCATATGTTGACGCGACAAATTCAGCATCGCTTCACGTGTCGCTGTTGTAGCCTTTCCTTCTGGAATGATTCGGGCTGCTTTTCTGTCCATGCTCTGAGACGCAGTGATTCTTGAGCAGCCAGCAGCCCCAAAGGCCCCAAAAGCTGAAAGCTGATAAAGCTGTGAGACAAAAAAGAAATACAATGGGGTAGACTTCTTGCTGAACACCTCCCAGCCATGATTTCTGCAGGCAATTCTCTTGAGCTCCTTCAACCCTTCAACCTCTGAACCTCAAATCCGTTGCTACTCCCTAAGCGGCAAATATCAAGTCCAAGTGGATGTTGCTCAATTCAATGCAAAAGATCCACTGAATGGGTGATGCTCACACACTACTGGGATACCATGTCATGCAAGTTTTGCCAACACAAATGACATTGGGGACATGCGTCAAACAAGCTTCACCTAGCCTCACTGCAACCGGTCCATTATTCTTTTTTTCTTCTGCGCAGGTCAAACTGACTGTTTTATGGAATCCATGAGTCTCTCAATGGCAAACTCGCACAAACCCACCGCCAAGAGTGGGCAAGGTGACCACACGACATGCAATGTAATGAGTTGTGCATCACTCATGGCCTACAGAATCTCATTTGATGAGACTCTGTAGGCCATGAGTGATGCACAAGGACCTCGTCAATGTAACGCAACAACATCAACAACAAATGATCGCCACCATCTCTTACAAATATGACACGGCAATTCAGCAGCGAGGTGTTGGTCAAGCTTATCCAGAGAGGGAACCAGAAACCAACAACATTGAAAAAAAAAACGAAACATATAAGATCTTATATGCTGCATACAAATATGTTATACCTAGATACTCGTTTGAGGCACTTTTTGCTAAAAGTACTCGTTTGAGGCACTTTTTGCTAAAAAGTATCCTCTACCCATGCTGCGGCGTAATTTCCTTGGGGCATTTTTGGATTTAAGCTGCGGCGTTTTTTGTTTCTAAACAAAAACTGTGCAAGAAGCTGGTGCACGTGGTTTCAGCATTTTTCAGGGCTTCACTACATCCTGGTCAGAAACCTTAACTCGCTTATCTCCGTAGAAAAAGTACCCCTGGGCCTTGCTGGAAACCTCCAAAACAGCAGCGCGGAGTTTCAGGACTCCTTCACAAGACGCTGTGTGTCTTAAGAAATTTGGGCCATGCAAAACTTGTCAATGCTGGCTGATGAACCTGAGACTGGCACATGCCCACACTTCCACTCCTGAAATGAGCTGGGATGAGCCGGGGTCCGTGCCAGTGGTCTCCCATGGTCTCCCGAGAGGTGATGTACCTGGGGGTGACCGACTGCCTGATCCTGATTACATCTGATTTCTGGCTACACATGATTGTATATTATTGTCAGGCGCTTGATTTGTTCATGCACTTGGACCGAATTTCATCTGCACCACTCCCACCCCTACCCCCACTCCGCCCACCTTCATCTGAGAACCGGCATAGGCGAACATGATCTCGTTGGCATTTTGCCTGTCACCTACGTCAACCAGGTGGGTTTGCAGCCAACCATGCGAATACAATGCAAGCCCTTTGCAAGGGGGAGTCGAACATGTAGCTGCTGCCAAGTTGGACAAACCCAACTACTGTTGGCCATGGGCCATGGTACAGTAGGCCAGTAATTAATTAAATTCATTTAAATTCATCATTTGGTTTACAAGTAATTACAGTTTATCGGTATGCCCACACCCAAAGCATAGTTCGCAAGGCTGGGAACGCATGCACAAGTGAGTTGATTTCTCAAATTCTTCCAATCAAGTTCCACATGATAACTTTCTGCACGATATGTCCGCAATTCTTTGTGGCGATTTGCAAGACTTGTACCAGTACCATCAGGAACAGGCCGCAGGGCCAGTCTGCCAGTACGGTGATCTCTCAAAAACTCACACTATCCGTTGATCGAAGACATGAATTGCATGGAGCTTTCTCGGGCCTTAAGTTCTCCACATGGGTGGTTTCGCAGTGGAAAAAATAATTTACTTCGAGTTATCCCCACCATGAGATCTATACGTTTTGTTACTGGCATATCTTCTGGCATTCTATCTGACATATCTTCTGGCATTTTGTCTGGCATATCTTCTGGCACTCTATCTGGCATATCTTCTGGCATTCTACCTGGCATATCTTCTGCAATATGTCCTGGCATATCTTCTAGCACTCTATCTGGCATATCTTCTGCAATATGTCCTGGCATATCTTCTGGCATTCTATCTGGCAAATCTTCTGGCATATGTTCTGGCAAACATTCTGGCACTTTATCTGGCATACCTTCTGGCATTCTATCTGACATTCTATCTGGCATACCCTCTGGCATTCTATCTGGCATATCTTCTGGCATTTTATCTGGCAAACATTCTGGCACTTTATCTGGCATATCTTCTGGCATTCTTTCTGACATTCCATCTGGCGCTCTATCTGGCATGTCTTCTGGCATTCTATCCGGCTGTTGAGGTCCAGCGGTGCTCACTGAGCTCGGAGGGTCCCAGGTTGAGGTCCAGCGGTGCTCACTGAGCTCGGAGGGTCCCAGGTTGAGGTCCAGTGGTGCACACTGAGCTCCGGAGGTCCCAGGTTGAGGTCCAGCGGTGCCCACTGCGCTCAGACCCTTGCGCTTGAGGTCCAGCCGTGCCCACTCAGATCGGAAGCCGGCAGTTGAGGAGAAGGAGGAGAAGAAGGAGAAGAAGAAGAACAACAACTCTGATAAAATCTAACAACCCTCACCTGGCAGGTGGGGAAAAAACACTGAAAGTCACTGCCACAAAATCTGCTTACCTTTAGAATATCTTTGGCAATTTGGGTTGAGGCACTGAAGCGCCACTTGACAAAACGCAACCGTTCCGCGGCACCTGGCACAGCTTGGCATCAGCACGCATCGTTGAGGTGGTAGAGGTACGACACCAAACGAGACTTTCATCTTTGCCACGTGTTTGCAAAAGCGATTACATGGACTATTCACCTCTTTGCATCCGTTTCGAAATCTGCGGCCAAGGCAGCCTGACATGCTCAAAGGATGTGCCCAGCCCCCGCTGCAAACGTGCTCCAAATGGGGTTGAGATGAGCCGCTTCCTATCATGTCCTATCTTCATAATTCATATATATATATATAGTAACTACACAAATACTTGACGTCACAGAGATCTGCAGCCTGGGTCTTCACAGAAAACTCCAATCAGGATCTTCAAGCATCAACGCATCATAACGCATCCTTTTCTGCATCGCTCACGCAAACCTTCGGGTATGGCTAGGCCATTCAATCTCCAAAGGACTCTCCAACGACTAGTGGCGAATTGATGACTTATCTAACCTAACTAATGCCCAAGCCCGTGCCAAGCTGATCATCAGGACGCAGCAACAAAAAATAGTAATTATGGTTGATGCCGTTGTATCCCAGTATGCACTGTGTGACACACTCACATGCTATTTCCATGCCTTTTTCACATTGGTGGGACAGGAAGGGCGGAAAACACAGAAAGGCATCAACATTAAATTACAATGTGTATATATATATATATTGATATATATATATACAGGGTATCCGCAATGGGTGTATATATATATGTGTGTGATTATATATGTAATATTTTATAATCATACATAGACTGTCTTCACATAACTTTGTTGGCTTTCCGCATATCATGTGGCCTAGAGGCTGTTCGTCTGCTTGCCCCAAATACATTTATCTGTTCATGTCTGATGTGTGGCTGCAAATAAGCCGCTACAATAAAGGTGGCCCAAGAGCTTGTTACTGTCCTGATTCATCCAGAATTTGGAGAGTTGGGCAAGGTCTGCCGGCCAAAAGTCGATGGCCAACCTCTCCATGCTCTGAACATCTCTGAACATCTCTGAACCATCTGACAACAGATGCCTTTGACGCTTCCAATGGCGGACGGTGCACATGTCTAAGTGGATCTAAGTGGAAGAGGCCACTACCCACTCTGACCAGCTGCAAAACTTGACTGGTGAAACTCTGCAAAAAACGAACGGTTCGACCGACTCCAAATGAGATAAATGAGTATGCTCAATCGTGGGGAACACGTGCGCCAAAAGCACATCCCGAAATTTGAAACCAACAACTCCGTGGGCATCAGGGACACTTGACAACTCGGCCATGGTCCACTACCCACGCCTTCCCAGAGAATTCTTATCACACAAGATCCGGTGATGCAAAATGATGCAAAATGAATGCATCAAAATGCTCACTCCAAGAGGTTATTGTGCGGGGGAAGCTCATAGTGACCATGTTGATCTGCCAATGCCTTGAAACGAGATCGGCCCAAACATGCCCAAACCCATGCCAAAGCCAACCAACCTGTCGTAACTGCTCGTGGATTCCTGCCACACCAATGGATCAAAAGATCAGCTCTTCTTCGTGAAGGGTGTTGTTGTTGACATCCGCAACCGTACTGCATCAAGAAAGATCCAACGACCTCTTGAGTCTTGATCCGGATGGAGGTGCAGTGCAAAGTGTTGCTCATAGCAAGTTACACTAATGACTAATGAATCAAATTATATACATTACACTAAATCAAATTCAATCCTTGAGCCTTTTGCAGGCAAGGTGCGTGAGACAAAGCATACAGCTGTTTGCTGATCCTTGCGCAGCCAACTCTGGCAGTTCAAGGGTCTGTCCAGCTGACGCGCAATCAACTCGTGGCATAGTGAGGTCCATCATTCAGACAGTGCTGATGAGTTCATGCGCGATGTTTCCTTTGCACATCTTTCTCATTCTTTCTCTCTACCTTTTGGACCTACTCAGCATCAGTGAAAGCAGGATAGGGAAGTCACACTTGTGTTGACAACTGCGCGCTGTATGTCTCACCGTGATTGAACCAAGAGTGAGCTAAGTGACTTCTGCGTATCTCTCCGAAGCTTGTAAACATCAATGCTTCTGGCAGCACCGTGAAATTGCCGGATTGCCTGCTCCTCAAATGAAGTTCGCTGGAGTGGAACCCCAAAAGGCATTTATTGGAAAACAAATCAACACTGTAGACACTGTAGAACAAGACTGGTTGGTGGTTCATCCACGTTTCTTAATTGGGTCCATTGTCATACCGGGTTGGTTGGAGCATGAACAGAACATGGGAAATCACCAGCCAGGTCAAGATCAAGTCGAGATAATCCCAAATGCTGCAAGCATCGAAAGAGTGGGGATCGATCTTGCCATCTTCATCTACGTCAAAAAGCTCGAACAGCTCGTCAGCTGTGTGGTTCCTATGGCCGCTACATGCGCTGCATGGTTGCAAAAGCCCTGCAGGCCCTGCAGTATATAGAAGTATCAAGGGCTTGCAACCAGGCCCACTAGCAAATCTTGCAATTGAATCATCTCCGTTGAGATATGTCACTTTCATGTACATGATGCACGTGCTTCTTGCATATATAGCACCATGAGTGTTCAGCTAGTCAGCTAGATCTTGAGATCACTTGAGATCGCAAACCTCCATGCCAAGTCGCTCCACATTGATGCCTAAATGGCGGAAGCACTCCTGCACCCGTTCATCCTGGCCAGAAATGTTTCGGAATCTAAAAACAAACCCCGGGGACCCCTGGACCGTGAGCAAACTCTCAGACTCTAAGACTCTTTGAATCAACTTGAATCGACTTGAATCGACTTGAACCTGGATCTCTGCTGCAAACTCTTCATAGGATAAATCGCCTTCAGCGCCTGCAGCAGTATCAACAAATTGAAGTTGGCACATCCTGGTTGCTCAAAATGAGCAATGACATGTCATATGGCTAGGGCATGCTAGAGCTGCTAGGGCCAAGTTGCTGATATCCATTTTCGCAAAAAGCTTAACCACCTCTTTGACCCAGCGTCTTCGGCGAAGATACCTTCAGTGTGCATCAAACGTGTGTGCAAGTTTACACCCCCGCAAGGCAAGCAAGTCAAACGAACCTTTAGGAAAACACACAATAAAATAATTATACATAATTATATAATATGTATTATTATTATATGTTATATTTACGACAAATCTTACGACTAAATTATATTATTGATATATATATATATATATTACATTATAACTTACATATTTGACATTATATATATATAATTAATATGTGTGTAACATTATGTAACATTATAATGTAACAATGTTCTGCATTTGGAAATAGGTTTTGGAATCAACTAGCTATATAATGCTATACACATCTAAGGTTCTCTATTATGGTTTTGAATGGTTTTGATAACATTACTGAACGCTTCCTGAAGTGTCCTACTGTGTATGTCCGTCTCTGAGTCTGGCGTCTTCCATTAAAATGATCATGGCCTGGCACGCGTTTTTCTTTTTTGGATTCTGGTCCAGAAAACCCGTGAAAATATCAGCCATCAGCCCTCCGGTCCCCGAACTGAAAAGGATTCTCGCAGAGGCACTGCCCTGCACGCTGATGGAGCATCTCTTGCTCACCGAGCGCCTGTACGGCCCATGCTGCTCAACACACAATCTGGCCAAAGATCACTATGCTGCAAAATCCTGCGCTCTTGGACCTGCACAATAGTAATGGTACTTTAGTAATTGATCAATGATGCATCTTTGGGTCTTTGGGGCGAAAATGCAAACGCTACTGTAATGTCTGAAGTGCTCCAGGCACAACCAAGACCACTGAAGCCACATTAAGTCACATGATGCAATATGCATCCGACTGCTGTGTTGAACTTGAGTATGTGCATGGTTTGCATCATTGAGGAGTCGCAGGCTCAAGATTCCAAGAAGATTTGCCTTGGCGTTGTCCACAAAAATGCCTCCCAGTAGCAAACTCGCACGTCTCAAGCTACTGTACAACACCTTCCTGTGTGGTCGTGACACTGAAGTGGATGGCCCAACTCAGGTTTGGCATGTTTTTGCAGAGACCTCTCCTTCGCCCGCCTGTTACAACGTTGATGAAACAAAATACAGTGAAGAACACCTTGGTTGCATCTTTGGTCCAGGCATATTTTTTTTGATATGTTTTGCGCAAAAAAATACCAAAGCCCGAGTGCATATTTGTGAATATGTCGAACCGAAGTCTACCACGTCAAAAAGTTTGAACAGCTGTGTCACAGTCTAAAGTCTAAAACAGCTTGACAGTTCAGAATCATTTTAGAAAATGTTTATACAAATAATTACAAATATGTTCACTTTACATACATTTATTGGTTACATTACATTTATATATACCTTTACATATGCAAATGAAAAAATGAAAGCAGAACCGGCATTTTGTTCGTGGATGTTCGTGGGTTTGCTGAATACAAAGGAGAAAAGACCCAGATAAACCAGGCAAAGCTACACGGATCCTACTCTCAGAACCACGCGCCGCACCGTTTTTTCCAAGAACCGACAAAGAGATAAAGATGTCTTTGAGAGGGTACAAAAAGCGACAACTCCCTGATGTGATTTCTGGAGAAGCAAGTTCATGTGTTTCATTGTGTTTCGGCATGCGCATGCACCGATGTACTGCGTACTGACGCTGCTTTCGAAGGCACATACACCCCCATCAAATAGTCAATAATCTCGCTCAATGTGCTCAAAGGAGCAACGGCATCTTTCCAGTCGATGCCTGAAAACACGAAAAACGCTGCAGCATTCCTTCACATTCTGCCAAACCCGACCACACAAGTTGAAGCGGGGTTCATCAGCCAGCATCCCGCAATATGAACGTTTACATAAGAACAGCATGAAAGCTACAGCGCCTCCAGAGATTGCCATGAAAAGGGTCAGCATGCTTCCTAGGTCTGGCCAACAGCATTTTACAAAGACACCACCACATTTGCTTTGCTTGCCAGGACCATCACCAGGGTTTCATGTCAAAGCTTGTCCCCCGACTTTACACGTCATTCATAAGCAAAGGAAGTTTCATAGAGAAACTCCGAGTTATGGATGGTTTTTCCAAAAGTCTCCAGTATCTCAAATCTAGTTGGCATGTTCCTGGGGTGGAAGTAGCTCAGAATTCTTCAATCCAGCTGGCCTGTTCCTGAGGTAGAGAAGTAGCTAGTCTTAAGTCCAGTTGGCACGTTCCTGCAGTAGAGAATTAGCTCAGAAGTCTTAAGTCCAGTCGGCGTGTTCCTGGAGTAGAGTAGCTCGGAAGTCTTAAGTTCAGTTGGCGCATTCCTGAAGTAGAGAAGTAGCTCAGAAGTCTTATATAAGTCCACTTAGCAGGTTCCTGAAGTAGAGAAGTAGCTCACAAGTCTTAACTCCAGGTGGCATGTTGCTGGAGTAAAGAAGCAGCTCGGAAGTCTTAAATCTAGTTGTCATGTTCCTGGTATAGAGAAGTAGCTCAGAATTCTTCAATCCAATGGGGACTTTCCTGAGGTAGAGAAGTAACTAGTCGTAAGTCCAGTTGGCATGTTCCAGGTTGGAGGAGAACAGAGTAGCGCTGGGTTGAGTAGGCTACGGGAAAGACCTATTTCGGCAGATCAGAGACAAGAAGACTAGAGGAGAGCAGGGGGACAAAATGCAATAATTAGAGCAGAGTAGAGAAGTCATGGATTCTATGGTGCTTGCGCGACTGTTCCGGCGGCCGTCCATTTAGTGTGGAAACGATCTCGAACTGCGCACGCAGTGGAACAGAGGTCTCCAAGCGATTTTTTGTTTCTTTCTTGAGGCTGTGCTATGCTATTTCAAAAACATCAAATTTTGCTTTGGCGCCGAGATGCACCGAGATCCGGTTTGGGAGCTGCATGGAGCTGCAATTTCTGCTGCGACTGCGGGCGGTAGTTCTTTGATGCTTTGCAACAACTCTCTGCAGATCGCAGTGGGGTGGCTGAATGAATGTTTCTTGCTTGCTGCTGCGGCTGCGCGCGCAATACTAATGTCTTTTGCAGCTGGGCATCCTATGGCAGCTTTGACGCTTATTATTTTCCCTTTGGACTCCTTTTAAAGCGTCACAAAGGCCTGAAAATCGTCCTTTTGAATGCGCTTTGGCGCCGAGATCCAGTTTTGCTGTGCAAAAGCTTCTGCTGTGTAGAAGCTTGTAGTCTGTGCAAAAGCTTCTCTGTGTACAAGCTTCTGTGTGTAAAAGCTTCTCTCTGTGAAAGCATCTCTATGTAAAAACGTATCTGTGAAAAAGCTTCTCTGTGTGAAAGCTTCTCTGTGCAAAAGCTTCTCTGCACAAAAGCTTCTCCGTGTTGAAGCGTGCAGATGCTTGCAGTGTGAACAAGCTTCTGTGTAAAAGTGAGACAAAGTGACAAGAATAATGAGAAGGTTGCGAGAAATTGTTGTGATCAGAAAGAGGTTGAGTTAAGAACATGAGGAAAGTTGAGGAAAGTTGAGAAGAAGTGAGGTGAGCATACTTCAATAAAGCTGGAGGGAGAAGAGGTCAAGAGCAGAGGTGGGAAGAGGTGAGAAGAACGGAGAAGAGCTGAGAAGTGCTGACCACAGTTGAAAAAGAGTGAGAAGAGGTGAGGACCGGTTCAGAAAAGTAAGTTAGCGTGAAAAGAGTTTGGAAGAGTTGGGAAGAATTTAGGAGAGTTAAGATGAGTTGAGAAGAGGCGAGAAGAAATCAGAAAAGTTGAGCAGCGGTGAGAAGAGGCAAGAAGAGTTGAGGAGAGTTGAGCTGAGGTGGGAAGAGATGAAAAACTTGAGAATAGTTGTGAGAAGGATTGCGAAGAGCTGAGAAAAGTTGACCACAGCTGAAATCACGGCAAGGTGAGGGCGAATTCAAAGAAGAGTTGAGAAGATGTGAGGTTTGACTCCAACTCATTCCTATAGTACAGTGCGGGCATAGTGCGAGCTTGCAAAAGAGTCCAAGCATGTCAAAGCCAAGCATATGCCAAGCATCTCCCCAAGGTGCCATAGTAAATCATGATATCACTGCTGTCCGGATTGGTACGGAGGTGGTTGTAGGCCAGTTGCATAAAGGTCACGCCAAAAATGAATATAACGATTCCCAGCAGCAACATCGCCCAGAAGAGGGTCTTCACAGACCTGTCTCACAATTTCATTGCACAATGCAGCACATGTCATGGTTGCCTCCATGGCCTCCGATGCCTTTCTAATCCCTGTTTCTCATACCTATGCGCATGTGCGCTTGTAGAAAACCGAATGAATAAACACACCAAATGTATGTATATGTATATCTATATATTTATTATATATATATTATTGTCTGTGTGTGTGGTGTATCTATCGAGCGATCAATCTGTATTCTTAACTGCGCCCTCCGTGTCTGTACCATTCGTATTTGTATTATCTTGTTTATGCCGTTGTTTATGAGTTATAATATGCACTCAATATCTATGCGCACATTCATTGGTGGTGAAGGTCGGGCATGTCATTGCAAGTGCCCACCGCCAAACAAATCATCCATCATCTAATCTGCTTCAGCTGAATAGGCCTGCATCCTGCAAAGCCACATGCCACGTGGCGCAATCTTGCATAAATGTTGCCAAATTATGTGATTTCGCAAGCTGTGCCGCTCCCCCAGTGTCCACTTCCCGACCCTGCAATGCCATTGACCATAATCCGCAAGTCGCTGCAGAACCGCACCACACGCAGCAGGCGCAGCACTCACACCAACCGGACCATGCGAAGAAGCCGAAACTGGGAAAGCTCAATTGCAAAGCCTGACAGGCCACTGACAGCTTCAGAAAGTTCAGAGATTCAAGACTCAAGACAGGTGGCAGGTTTCATGTCACGGGATTCTCTCGAAGCAAAGTGCCAGGAACAAGCTAGTGATGTTAGTACTGCGGCGTAGTGGTCTTTGAATATCAAGTTGAGCTCTGCTAAGACGTTGGGAGGCGCATCGTCAAACACTTCTGTTCAGAGGCAGAGACAAACAACAGAGTGAATGGCTACAATCAAAAGCTGGAAGCTCTGTGGGTCGAATTGGTATTAGACCAGAGTCCTGAACAACAGTCTTGAAGAGCAACGGGAGCCCATAAATGAATAAACAAGGGCACGTCCTAAGCAAGCTTGGTGCTGCGCCTCACTTTGCAAAGCTAATATTGATTGCAGGTGCATTCAGTATACTGAACAGATGTCAGTGAAGCCCCAAAACTAATACCACAATGCCCAGTAAACCTACCACGAATGCTGCGATCGCTGGCATTTCTTTTACGTTCCTTTGCCACTGGTCTCATCATGTCGCTCTGCTCTCCATTATTTGGGTTTCTCGTCCGCTCTGTGGGAGTAGAAATGCTGCCGAGCTGTTCCAGCCATTCTGAGAATCAACGGCACTTTTGGATGACGAAAGCAATCAAAGGGGATTGAGTCGGAGCCAGGTGGCACTTTTCCTCAGCTGCCGCATTGGTCGTGTAACAGTAGCAACTCACCCTTTCCGCCTTTGCAGTGTAGAACACTCGTGACAATTGACAATTGAAGAACATGAGAGTGAGAGCACTACCAGCAGAAAACAAGATGCTTGGGCTGCCAAGAGTCAAACAAATGCCTCACATTGGCCTTGAGGTTTTCCAGCGCTTGGGGTTTCTCTTCCCAAAGTGGCAACGCTTCGGCCTCGAGATAATCCGCCTTCCGCAGCTGCAGAGAGTCTGGGAGGCTGGGTATTGGCACCTCAACCTGATGCACCAGGTAGGTCAGCAGCAAATGCAACGGAATCACATTCATCAACTCCTCAAAGTCCAAGGAACCTGTGATCGAACATGTTCGAACTGAGGAACGACAAGGATCAAAAAGGATCAAAAGGGATCAATAAAAAGGTTGGAATTTATATATGTCCTTTTAATCTTTTAAATTCCTTTTACCCTTTCAAATGGTGCCAAATGGCCTTTGAAAGGAAAGTAGTGACAGTGAACGTCAGGGGAAGAGATATGGAATTCTTTAAAAATATTGAACAATACGAAATTGGTTCGGACATGTTCGGACTGCTTTGGACATCTGCGCTCTCCGTGCCTGCAGTCGTGCCCAATAGCTTTTTGAATTCGTTCATGACTGATGCTTCATACCTAATGCGCGTCTGGAAGTCAGGTTCCAGAGTGGAAAGCATGCTTTCAAGCACCTCCATGTCCCTAACTAAGATGCTTCGCTCTTGAGGGCCGCATGGCTTCACCAAAGAAGCTGCAGAAAGGAAACATCTCACGGCAAAGACACAGAACTCCTTCACATGGCCCTGCAGTTGACCAGCTCCAAAGAGGGAGAAATAGTAGCGGTTCAAATGACCAGCTGCCTGACAAACAGCTGTCAGGTCATCGGAAGTACCCATGGATGCCTTAATGAGGGATTGATGTAGACTGCCAAAAATTGGCGTCACGACTGCGGCCTGAGTCTGTTTCAAGGTACTTGTGACCTGTTCCGTCACCACCGCTTGTTGGAAGCGCTGTGGCAACAACTCTTTGAGTGCTGTAAGTGTATGATGCGCAATGCCAAACAAGCGAGCGTTGCGAGCATGTCCCGGAGCAGGCATGGGCAATGGAGAGATAAGCTGCAGTCTGCCCTCCGTTTCACGAAGGCATTGGATCTCGTTTGAAGAGTCAACCACCTGCTCCAAGCGGGTGGCAAAAAAGAGTACCGAGCTGCGTACACTGCGAATGATGTCTTTCAGGAGCAGCTCGGGGCAAGACTCCACTCTTTCCAACTCAGTCACTAGAAGTTGGACATAGCGCCTCAAGTCGTGCATGGTGGGCAATTCATCTGTTGCAGCAGCTTCTCCAGTTAACCGCTCACCAGAAGCACTGAGGGATGACAGCAGTTTGTCAGGCAGCATGATTTCCACAGGCTCTGTGATTCTCTTGATGGCTTCTCCTTCAGGGAGAAAGCAATTGGGTTAATTATCATATACTATCATGCTATATCTGCAAATATCCTACACTTGATTCGGTCAGAGGCTAACATTTTCAAGAACCGTTTTCATCCGTTTTCAACATCCACAAGCCGACTCCACCCTTTTCGGTCAGCTCCTAGATACTCGTTGCGTAAGTCTGCAACTGACTGAAAGAGCATCTCGCGCTCCACGGCTTTCATCACCTTGCCGCGGCCCAGTTTCTCTACGGCTGTGACCAAGTTTTGTAGCACCTTGGGGCAGTCAGACACAGCCTTGGCGCGGAAGGCACGATCCTGACAGACCTTGGCAAACTTGGCCTTGAAAACACCAACCGCTTCAGCCCAGAAATGGCTAGTCAGGGAATTGACGTTGGAAGCCTCTAGCACTGACTGAAAACTTTTATGTGTCACAGGATCCGCTTTGGCCTGAATGATCTCATCCAGTGCATGGACTCGCTGCGTCTGTCCTACCAGCACCTGCAAATTCACCTCAAGGGCCTGATGAAAGCCAGCACCTGCAGGGAGAGGAGCTTGACGAACTTCTTCCAAGAGTTCTGCCAAAAGTTTTTTCAACTGTGGCCACAAGCATTGCAAATTGAAGAAAACCTGGCGGAGGGTTTTGCTTCCAGCGCCACAACCCTGAATTTTCAAGTAACAACTATATTATATATATATATAATATATATATAACGATGTTTGGACCTTGCTTGAGCAATTCAGTTCTCATGGATCTTTTTCCCAACCCCGACCTGGAGGGCAACACTCAGACCAATATGGTTGCCTTGTCGAACCCCACTTCTCAAGTCTTCTTCTGACTGCCTGCGAACTTTCGCACTGACGTCGCGGATCCACAGCACCTCTGCCCTCAGAATGTCCACCTCGCTTTGTTCCAAGCCAAGTGACCCTGCAGATCCCTGAAATGACTAGCATGAGTACTAAGGATAATTTTTGTTCTTAGCTTCAATTTCCGTCGAATCGTTACTTTTGCCCTGGGCTACTTCGGAAACATCAATCGAACAAATTGAAACGAGGCAGAGGAAAGTTGAGTTGCAAAAGTCAGTTTCCGCAAACATGTCTGAATAAAAATTCTATAGTATTCTTATATATATATAAATGCGTGTGCGTACGTAAGTACTGTATGTATGTATGTATGCCTATGTATGTATGTATGTATGTATGTATGTATGTATGTATGTATGTATGTATGTATGTATGTATTTATGTATGTATTTATGTATGTATATGTATGTATATATGTATTTATGTATGTATTTATGTATGTATATGTATGTATATTATATGTATGTATATGTATGTATATGTATGTATATTATATGTATGTATATGTATGTATATATGTATTTATGTATGTATTTATGTATGTATATGTATGTACATGTATGTCTATGTATGTATATGTATGTACATGTATGTCTATGTATATGTGTGTGTATATGTATGTATATATGTATGTATGCATGCATGCATGCATGCATGCATGCATGCATGTATGTATGTATATGTATGCATATGTATGTATATGTATGCATATGTATGTATATGTATGTATATGTATGTATCTGTATGTATATGTATGTATATGTATGTATATGTATGTATATGTATGTACATGTATGTATATCTATGTATATCTATGTAAATCTATGTATATGTATGTATATGTATGTGTATGTATCTGTATGTATGTGTATGTATGTGTATGTATGGGTATGTATGTGTATGTATGTGTATGTATGTGTATGTATATGTATGTATATGTATGTATATGTATGTATATGTATGTATATGTATGTACATGTATGTATATGTATGTATATGTATGTATATGTATGTATATGTATGTATATGTATGTATTTGTATGTATGTATGTATGTATGCATGTATGTAAGTATGTATGTATTTGTATGCATATGTATGTATATGTATGCATATGTATGTATATGTATGTATATGTATGTATATGTATGTATATGTATGTATATGTATGTATATGTATGTATCTGTATGTATATGTATGTACATGTATGTATATCTATGTATATCTACGTAAATCTATGTATATGTATGTATATGTATGTGTATGTATCTGTATGTATGTGTATTTATACGCATGTATATGTATGTATACGTATGTAAATGTATGTATATGTATGTATATGTATGTATATGTATGTATATGTATGTATATGTATGTATATGTATGTATATGTATGTATATGTATGTTTATGTATGTATATGTATGTATATCGTCCGACTGAAACTTAGAATGTCTTGCAGTTTTCCATTTTTTTAACCCAGAAGATAGAACCACGTCAATTTCAGGGGTTTTTGGGAGCAACTTAGAATGACTTTTCATAGATTTTCATGATTTTGCTTTATTTTGGGAAGAGTGGTTCTAAGTTTCAGTCCGTCAACACCAAAACTAGTCACTTTTCCCAATTTTTGGATTCCAGGAGTTGAGAAAAAACATATGTATATATACGTATATATATAAATATGTATATATATGTATATATATATATGTATATATATGTATATATATATATGTATGTATATTACATTTACATTTGTATGTAGGTGTAAATTATTTCCAACCATTTCCCCACATTTTATGGGCGGCTCAATCACCAATGGGGTTTCATTTAGCTCCTAAAACACCAGTGGATGCACGCAGTTCCATGTTTTTCCCACCAAACAATTAATCTGTGCTCTATTTCAGCTCCCGATTTCTGTAAGAAAAGGGATATATATATATACCAAACCCTTTCCAAAGAAGACATTGTTTTTAGAGACACCTTTACCTTTCCATTTCAAAGAATAAACCTATCATTTGGGGATGCTTTATACACAGTCACATGTACCACCCATTTATGATGATTTTCGGTAGAATCTTTCGTTCAATCCATCAAACAACACATCATATTACTCAGCTAATTTTACGGGTGCTTTTCGGGTAAAAAACTGCGAGAGGGTAGTCATTTTTGGCTCTCCGAGCACCATTTTTGGTAGGGGTTCTAAGTTCTGATTACGGTGAACAGTTTCGCAAAACGTAAAAAAAAACATATTTTTTTAATCTATTTTACCCAAATCTGAGCGGGTAAAAACGGGTACTTTTTCGGGGTATGGCAAATTTCCAAAACTGGGTTCTACGTTCCGGTCGAACGATATATATGTATATGTATATGTATGTATATGTATGTATATGTATATGTATGTATGTATGCATGTATGCATGTATGTATGTATGTATGTATATGTATGAATATGTATGAATATGTATGTATATGTATGTATATGTATGTATATGTATGTATATGTATGTATATGTATGTATATGTATGTATATGTATGTATATGTATGTATATGTATGTATATGTATGTATTTGTATGTATATGTATGTATATGTATGTATATGTATGTATATGTATGTATATGTATGTATATGTATGTATATGTATGCATATGTATGCATATGTATGTATATGTATGTATATGTATGTATATGTATGTATATGTATGTATTTGTATGTATATGTATGTATGTATATGTATGTATATGTATGTATATGTATGTATATGTATGCATATGTATGCATATGTATGTATATGTATGTATACGTATGTATATGTATGTATATGTATGTATGTGTGTGTATGTGTATGTGCCTACGGGTTGAAAACCGAACCAGCGTTTTGCATGTTTCTATGTCTTTCATGGGGTTAACGGGGTGGGGTGGGGTGGGGTGGGGTAATAACGTTCATTTGCACTGCCTCACATACATGATGCAACTCCACTGTATGTCGTCTTGCACTTCCTCACATATATGATGCTACGTTATTGTACGTCGTCTTGCACTTCCTCACATACATGATGCTACGCTAGTGTACGTCGTCTTGCACTTCCTCACATACATGATGAAACTCCACTGTATGTCGTCTTGCACTTCCTCACATACATGATGCTACGCTGCTGTACGTCTAGATTGCACTTCCTCACATATATGATGCTACGCTGCTGTACATCGTCTTGCACTTCCTCACATACATGATGCAACTCCACTGTATGTCGTCTTGCACTTCCTCACATACATGATGCTACGCTGCTGTACGTCTAGATTGCACTTCCTCACATACATGATGCAACTCCACTGTATGTCGTCTTGCACTTCCTCACATATTTATGATGCTACGCTACTGTATGTCGTCTTGCACTTCGTCACATATATGATGCTACGCTAGTGTACGTCGCCTTGCACTTCCTCACATACATGATGCAACTCCACTGTATGTCGTCTTGCACTTCCTCACATATATGATGCTACGCTGCTGTACGGCTTTTTGCACTTCCTCACATGCATGATGCTACGCTAGTGTACGTCGTCTTGCACTTCCTCACATACATGATGCTACGCTAGTGTACGTCGTCTTGCACTTCCTCACATACATGATGAAACTCCACTGTATGTCGTCTTGCACTTCCTCACATATATGATGCAACGCTGCTGTACGGCTTTTTGCACTTCCCCACATGCATGATGCTACGCTAGTGTACGTCGTCTTGCACTTCCTCACATACATGATGCTACGCTAGTGTACGTCGTCTTGCACTTCCTCACATACATGATGAAACTCCACTGTATGTCGTCTTGCACTTCCTCACATATATGATGCAACGCTGCTGTACGGCTTTTTGCACTTCCCCACATGCATGATGCTACGCTAGTGTACGTCGTCTTGCACTTCCTCACATACATGATGCTACGCTGCTGTACGTCTAGATTGCACTTCCTCACATACATGATGCAACTCCACTGTATGTCGTCTTGCACTTCCTCACATGCATGATGCTACGCTACTGTATGTCGTCTTGCACTTCCTCACATTTATGGGAAAATAGTTGCCACAAAAACCTCTCCAAGCTCACTGCAGAAAATGTGAAGAACACTTGGCGCAGAAAAAAAGATAGTGCCGCTGAGGTGTTTTACATATCCAGTGAAAAGTACGCGCGTACTTTTTAAGGAAATTGAACTTTGAGAGAGATGCAAAACCACTGCGATTTGTGGTATGAAATCAATGACGAACACTGCAAACGTTGAAAACGCGGGTTCGGTAAACAACCCGCCGGGATGTATGTATATGTATGTATATGTATGTATATGTATGTGTATGTATATGTATATGTATGTGTATGTATGTATATCCGTGTATATCTATGTGTAAGTATGCATATCTATGTATCTCTATGCGTATGTATGTGTATGTATGTGTATGTATGTGTATGCATTTGTATGTATGTGTATGTATGTGTATGTACGTGTATGTATGTGTATGTATGTGTATGTATATGTATGTGTATGTATCTGTATGTATGTGTATGTATGTGTATGTATGTGTACGCATGTATGCATGTATGCATTTATGCTTGTATGCATGTATGCAGGTATGCATGTATGTAGGTATGTAGGTATGTAGGTATGTAGGTATGTAGGTATGGAGGTATGTAGGCATGTAGGCATGTAGGCATGTAGGTATGTAGGTATGTAGGTATGTAGGTATGTAGGTATGTATGTATGTAGGTATGTAGGTGTGTAGGTATGTAGGTACGTAGGTATGTAGGTATGTAGGTATGTAGGTCTGTAGGTCTGTAGGTCTGTAGGTCTGTAGGTCTGTATGTATGTATGTATGTATGTAGGTATGTAGGTATGTAGGTATGTAGGTATGTAGGTATGTAGGTATGTAGGTATGTAGGTATGTAGGTATGTAGGTATGTAGATATGTAGGTATGTAGGTAGGTAGGTATGTAGTTATGTATGTATGTATGTACGTATGTATCTATGCATCTATGCATCTATGTATCTATGTATTTCTCTATGTATGTATCTATGTAGGTAGGTAGGTATGTATGGATGTATGAATGAATGTATCTATGTATGTAGGGATGCATGCATGTATGTGTGCATGCCTGCGTGCATGTCTGTGTGTGTGTCTGTGTGTGTGCCTGTGTATGCATGTATGTAGGTAAGTAAGTAAGAAAGCAAGTAAGCAAGTAAGTACGTATATATTCTTGAGGGCGAAGCGGCCTTATCCAATCCAGTCTCCTGCAAAAGTAGCTCCAGCTCGTGCAGTGTATGTGCAGCTTTGGAAAAGTCCTTGCCAGGAGCGTCCATCTGACTGCGCAGCTTTCGTGCATCCCAAAGGAAACGAACAACGCGTCGAATCAGCACATTCACGGCTTGCATTCTCTCGAGCAGTTCTACCTTCCACTTGATGTCTTGGAAGGGTACCAGCACATCACCCCGAACTCGCAACACTGAGGCTTTTAGAGCTCCAACAATGTCGTGAGCCTCTCCCAGTTGTCCATCTAAATCATTGATACTACTGGCACATAGAAGAAGCTCTTCGTGGCATGCTGCAATCTCTCTCCGCAGGTCTTCTTCCAATGTGGCTGCCGCATCTTGCAGCTGTTGGGACAACCGTGAGGTGTCCCCATGCGCCCCTGCATCCCGCACAAAGGCGGCAACATTGAAATCGGGCTTGCGGAAATTGTCAAGCAGACCGCGGGCCATGGCGCAACCGGAAATAGATCTCGAGCCCTGTGGCTGAGATTACGATCAAATGCAACCTTCAATCAATTGCAAGTTATATACTAATTAATATCTTAACACCTCAATGCATGGATCACCCTTCAGTTATCCAAAAATGTAAATAGATGTAAAATGATGTAAATAGGCTTTGTTTTGTACAGTACAAGGTGTCGGAAACGAAGACTACATGCTCCGTTCTACCCCCTGCCGTCATCCCCTCCAAGCCTAGCATAAACACCACCTCATCTGCTGTGGAAAATGCCTGTACGTAGCGCAGATTCCCGCGCGGCTTCAGGTTCCCCCACTGTGCTTCAAGCTAGATCATTCTACAGGCCAAGCATGCACACGAAAACTTTCAACTCTTCAGTTCCAGTTGGAACTTCAAAATCTTTCTGACTCGAGGCAGCCAAAGGGCAACTAGAACAGTATCAGTGAGGTTCCACATGAACCTTGGCGTCTTCATGCGTCTTCATGCAATCCGGGTTGTGCATACAACAGCAACAGCTGGAAACAGAACTTTCATCCGTTTCATCAACATCTTTTAACTTTGCCGAACTTTGCTCTCCAGGTGGCTCTGGATTGCGAGAGTTCAAGAAATGCCGTCCATCTGCAAGCATTCGCACAAAGAGTTCCAGCAAGAAAGCTGCGCACCAAAAGATATCAAAAATACGGAAAATCACCTTAGCAAGCACTCCAGGGCTTTCCAAATAAAGACTGCCAACATCTGCCAAGAATAGTGAACGCAAGGCCTGGCCCCAGGATGCCCCAAGATGCCCCGAAACGCTTCTGCCAGGAGCTCTGATTTTTTTTCTGAATTCTCGAGTGCCATTTCACCAATGTCGCCTTTACCACTAGATCGCATAGTGTGATCCTTGAGTGCCATGTTAAAAAAATCTGGATGTATGCTTTGATTCCTTTGATTCATGACATGATGATCTGGATGAATGCCTTTCGCCTCCGAGCTTATGGACCCATCGTGGTTTCCGATGCAGCCATGCCACATGAGGATCCTTAGGTTTGCACTGCCTAAACCTGGGGCCTCTGGAGCCTGTGCCACAGCGGTAAGTAGATCCAAGCAAAAACGGCGCTGTCAACGGAAATGACTTCTTGGGAGCTTCTAGAATACCATTGGCATCCATTGGCAAAGTAATCCCCCAATAAAAAAACGCCTGCCAGCCGTCCCCTACGGCTAGCTGCCGGGTGACTGATTCAACATCCTGCATGTTGAGGTGCGTCTCTATACCCAGAGTTGCAGAGGACGCCAGTAACGTCAGCATTACCAACACCTCGAAGTAGCTATGTCGAACAGCTAAGAGCGCCTGTCCTGGGCTCATGGTAGGAAGACTGAAAGAAAGCAGAGAGGGTGCGGAGATGTGTTCTATTTCTTATCGGTAATAAATCAGATCGTATCACAGCTACGTCCGGTCAAAGCCATTGCAATAGTTGCGCCGGGGGGGGTGCCCCATATATTTATAGTTTTGGAATCGTTTTATCATTTTTTTGGCAGTCAAGGTCTTGACATGTCTTGACCAATGCCAAGGTGCTTCGACACCGGCCTAGCTGGTCAGGATCCAGATTGTAAGAGGTTGCTGCATCTGCAAGGACAATAGGCGCATTGGATCCTGGGAGACAGGGAAGACTATCGTAGCTTGGGTGAAGGCTGGATGCAGGGCAAGCAATCAGATAGAGTAAAACTTTGGAAACACATGGAATTGGAATGAATTTGCTTGATTTGGCTTGGATGGACAAGAATTGCAAGGAACAAATGGACTCTGGAAGGAGAAGCTGCAGTATTGATCACCTCTCGATGCATCCCAGACACTCGAGCCCCGAGGTCTGCGTGACCTTTCACATACCCTCAAGAAAAAGGAAGCATCCGAAAACGAGCAAAACATAGCCAACATTTCGAAAACATGCAAAGCTTGAGTTGGAACAAAACGAGAGGCGAATCTTTCTATCATCTGGAATTAAGCTGAAACCCTAGGAGGCCCACCTGTACAGTCCACCTTCCCCTTGTTGAGTACATACCCAGACCCAGGCACTGTATGTTGACAGGATCGATGGGTTTTGTCTTGGCAATCGTAGGCTGGTGAAAGAAGGCCATCGGCTTCACCTCATGTGCAATACGGAAAATGCCAACCTTCCCTTGGCATACTGTGATAATACATAATATGCACACTTATATCGAATTGCAAGAGTCTAATGGTTTCAAAGTCCGCAGAGAAGGCAACCCTGCATCGGTCCATGCAGCCCACCATAAATAGGCATATGGGTACACAATAGGCGACTGAATGCACTCGGACAGTCATATAATAAGTAAAACACAATATGCCAGAAAACGTCTGATATACGTAGATTTGACTTAGATAATCTTAGAATATCTTAGATATACTGTTTTATATGATATATCATTATATTATGATATATTATGGTTATATCCTGAGCGGTTTCCCAAATGACGAGCGTGTGGAACCCTGTAGGCCAAGGAGGTTTCCTTCTTCCCTTCTCTTCCTTGTTCCCTCTTTCTCTGGTTTCATCATGTTTCATCTCATCCCATTCTCAAAAAAGAAACACAGTCCGTGCCCGCTCTGCTGGGCTTGGGCATCCTGATGAGGAAACCCGGCAGAACATCCGAAACTGCAAAGAGACAGAGAGATATGTTTTCCGTGTCTTCCCTGCACTGCATCAGTTGAACTGGCCAGCACGAAACTCCAGCTATGCTCCAAAGAACTCCAAAGATCTGCGATTGGATCAGGATGTTCGCATGAGACTGGGGGCCGCTCAGCGGTATCATTAGAAGTGTGCGATCACCAGTGTGTGTGTGTGTGTGTGTGCGTGCGTGCGCGAATTGCATTGCAGATTCTGCATTTTGCTCGCGCAGCAGTGGTTCCGTCGTGGCAGCTTCGGCTGTTTGTCTGGGTTGTCTCTTTTGCAATTCGCAAGTCTCTTCGTCAGAGAAGCATAGAATGGATGGTAGGGGACATAGGTGCAGCACATCATGTTCGACAAGGCTGCTACAAAAGCATCTGGCGGCGCCTGGCGGCACCTTTTCATATCTTTTCATGGGTGAAAAGTATTCAAATCAATCGTTTGAGTGTCTTACTCATGTGCTTGATGAGAGCATCACAATTCTGCCAGGGTGTTCTGTGAGGGTCTTTGCAAGACTTCAAGAGCACGTTCTGCAGCAAGCGGTGCGAAGAATCTTCCGTTGTTCCGCAACTACGTCTTTGCAAGGTGTCATGGAAGCGGGATCTACCAACCTTTGTCAAAACGATTCAACCTTTGAAATGCTCGTTCCAGTTCGAGTGCAGCACACAAGCGTTCGGAGAGTTGTACAAACATACTCTGAAAGAATGCAAGAGTGTGTTGATGGGGTTGTTGCAAATTGCTTTTATTAAAGCGTGTTCTACTAGCCTTGTTAGTGTGTGAGTTGCGAGAGTGTTCCCAAAGAGTCTTCTACGAGAGTGTTGATTGTTTGCAAGGAAACTTGTCACTGTATTTTAATCCATTTTAGACAAGAGGATTGCCAAGCATTTTGTATTGGAGTCTAGTTCAAGAATGTTCTGCATGGGGTCTAAGCGGGTGAGAATACATAATGAAGGATGAATAGCCAAAGACTTTGTCTGAGGATGTCTCGCATTCCAAAATGCCGCTATCAAGTCTATGAGTTCATCACACATCTGAGCCGGCCTCAGCGTCAGTCTGGATGCCTTGCTCCTTCCTGGAGACATCACAAGAGTCTAAGAAGCACAATTCAAAGGGACAAATATGGTGCCAGGCAGCACAACTATGCTTGATACTCAAAGATTTCACGGCAATGTGACAAAATGTGACAAATAAACATGGAACCCGTTTCACTTTCCTATCTCCCCAATACTTGATATGTCAGATTATGTCCGGTGTTCGGTGCATGCCTTTGAGGGATGGGTGAGAAGAAAGACCTTCCTGCGGAATACACCAAAAAACAAACACCACTGGGCTGTGTACAGTGTAGATATGTAGTTTCCGGAGCTTTCCACTTTCCAAGATGAAAAGTCATCAAATAGATTCAAAGAGTATGTATGAAACTGTCCTTTCTTCACTCTTGAATTCTGATCGCAGCTCCGCCCAGGGGACCACTGCTGTGCTAGCTGATTGAGCTGCCCCCATGTGCTGCAGATCTTCTGGCGGTGACCTTAATACCAATGAAAGTCAATTACCAACTCGACTTTTGCAAAGCCAAACAGGCTGGATGCCGGACGGATGGACAATGATGTTTCTGATCAACATGTTTCATCGAAGAATTGAACATGTCATCTCAGGTTGGTCTCTAAGGTAAGCACCTGGAGACTTGAAGCGCAGCTGCACGCAGTCCTGGGACGGCGGATGTTGCAATAGATTGAGAGTCGCTATGAATCGCTGGAGCCCAGAAAACCAATCAGAAGTTGAGACATCCTCATTGGACGACAAAATGACGACAAAACTCAGAAAAACTCAGGTCATTGCCAACCGTTTCGAGGCCAATGGGCATAGCATCCTCTCAAACAGGATTGCTTTGAAAGGTAGTCGTGCTTGCTGAAAATGTCTCACAACGTTACCTTCTGTGGCACATGTTCTGAAACGGATCTCTTGCAATGTCAACCCTGGATTCCAGGATTAATAAACCCCTGGGTTGTTTAATTGGAGGGTACCATTGAAATATTATATTATCACTATGGGAGTATCCCCCTAATTTAAAAAAACATGGTTTATGCATTTAATGTTGAAAAAATATGTTGCTGGAATAATTGGAATATGTGCAACTGGTTGGGGCCCACGGGTGCAATGGACCGACCTCGACCGCACCAGGGAGAAGACCATCACTAAGGTGTTCCCTCAGCGACGCATGCGACGCCAACAATGGAGACTCATACCGACTCATACCACCAAATAACACCCATACTGGCCCATACATTCTGTAATTATCCGTAAAATCATTGATCAAATGGGAGGTACAAGTACCCCCCACCCTCCAGACCCCCCCGATTATTTTGTTATTAATCCACTATACTATGCCTGCACCAAAAAGAAACAGAAATTAATCTAGAACCTGGTTTACCCTCTGGACCATGCGAAAACAACACGGTGATCCTCTGGGAATGTTGGTAATCTTTTGTGTGGATTTGTTCATATTTGTCCGCGTGTCATGCACGCTCATGTCGTTGCATCTTCTTTGTCCTCATTACCATCATTTCTGTTTATCTACCATCATCTTTGTACCATCATCTATGCACCATCATCTATGTACCATCTGTCTACCATCATCTATCTACCAGCATCTATCTCTCTCTCTCTATCTCGCTCTCTCTCTCTATCTATCTATCTATCTATCTATCTACCTATCTATTTCTTTTTCTCTCTATCTATCTCCTTATCTCTCTATCTATTTATTTATCTATCTATCTTCCTATCTATCTTTCTATCTATCTATCTTTCTATCTATCTCCCTGTCATTACCCATCTACCTTTCTACATATTGATCTGGGTCTCTGACCCACCGACCACCCATGGATTAAGGGCCCACTACCCTATGCCATGGCACTGCACATCGCTGCACCAAAGCAAGAACAGTCTCATCTCATCCCTTCAGCACTATTCAGCACCCCTCCAAGCTGTCATCCTCTGCACATGCTTCTTCACCCAATGTCTGCAACCTAATTCATCCATGGGTCTCTGACCTCCAGACCGCCTATGAACTATTTGAGAACCCACCCCATGCCATGGATTCAAAGACCTTTGGATTAATTTCCACAGGTTGCAGACATTGGGTGAACAAGCATGCGGAGACAGGTGCAAAGCCTTGAAAGCCAGGATGATGAATGGTGCTGAAATAGCAGGTTTCCATTGGGCTAGAGAAAAAAATGTCCTTGCTTTGGCGCAGTGATGCCCAATGCCATGGCATGGGGAAGTGGGTCCATGTGGGCTCTCAAAATAATCCATGGGTGGCGTTGGGGGTGAAAGACCCTTGGATTAGTTTCCACAGGTTGCAAACATTGGATGAACAAGCATGCGGAGACAGGTGCAAAGCCTTGGTTTCCATTGGGCTAGAGAGGAAAATATCCTTGCTTTGGTGCAGTGATGTCCAATGCCATGGCATGGGGAAGTGGGTCCATGTGGGCTCTCAAAATAATCCATGGGTGGTGTGGGGGTGAAAGACCCTTGGATTAATTTCCACAGGTTGCAAACATTGGCATTGGGTGAACAAGCACCCGCAGACAGGTGCAAAGCCTTGAAAGCCAGGATGATGAATGGTGCTGAAATAGCAGGTTTCCATTGGGCTAGAGAAGAAAATGTCCTTGCTTTGGCGCAGTGATGTCCAATGCCATGGCATGGGGAAGTGGGTCCATGTGGGCTCTCAAAATAATCCATGGGTGGTGTGGGGGTGAAAGACCCTTGGATTAATTTCCACAGGTTGCAAACATTGGCATTGGGTGAACAAGCACCCGCAGACAGGTGCAAAGCCTTGAAAGCCAGGATGATGAATGGTGCTGAAATAGCAGGTTTCCATTGGGCTAGAGAAAAAAATGTCCTTGCTTTGGCGCAGTGATGCCCAATGCCATGGCATGGGGAAGTGGGTCCATGTGGGCTCTCAAAATAATCCATGGGTGGCGTTGGGGGTGAAAGACCCTTGGATTAGTTTCCACAGGTTGCAAACATTGGATGAACAAGCATGCGGAGACAGGTGCAAAGCCTTGAAAGCTAGGATGGGAGCTTGGAGGTGTGCTGAAGAAACCAGGCCACCGATGAATGATTTGAGCACACAACTCCCCAGCACATCACTGCACCAATCCAAGAACATGTTCCTCTCTAGCCCACTGCAAAACTGCTATTCCACTGCGCATTTTGGACGATTTTTGTTTTCACATCTTTGTCGGATTTTGTTGATTTCAAAGGAGAATCAACCTTTTCCTAAGTAGGTGATAGTAGGTGGTTGTTTATGGTTTTTCCTTTGCTTAATACCTCTTTTGCAAAAATGATCCTGGTCTAGACCCTAGTTCTACGTTCTAGACCACAGGAAAAATTAATCCAAGATCATTGATCCAAAAATAATAATCCATGAGCTCACGGTAGGTACCCTAGGATTAATTTACGACACAAGGGACCCCCCATGACAATCTAAGATCAGTACTGGCAAGTGCTCACATGATCTTACATGTCTTTTTCGAATGATTCCCCACCTGCCAGGTGAGGGTTGTTAGATTTCATCAGAGTTGTTCTTCTCCTCCTCCTCCTCCTTCTTCTTCTTCTTCTCCTCCTCCTTCTCCTCCACCACCTCTGCATCCACTTCCAGGTCCACTTCCGCCACTTCCATGTCCACTTCCGCCTTGCCAACTCTTCGCCAAGCTCTTCGCCAACTTCCGCACGCAGTGGGCACTGCTGGACCTCAACTGCAAGGGTCTGAGCGCACTGTGCACCGCTGGACCTCAACCTGGGACCTTCCGAGCTCAGTGAGCAACGCTGGACCCCAACCTGGGACCCTCCGAGCTCAGTGAGTGAACACTGCTGGACCTCAACCTGGGACCCGCCGAGCTCAGTGACCACCGCTGGACCTCAACGGCCAGATAGAATGCCAGAAGATATGCCAGAAGGTATGCCAGATAAAGTGCCAGAATGTTTGCCAGATAGAACGCCAGAACATTTGCCAGATAGAATGCCAGATAGAATGTCAGAAGATATGCCAGAAGATATGCCAGATAGAGTGCCAGAAGATATGCCAGAACATATGCCAGGTAGAATGCCAGAAGATATGCCAGATAGAATGCCAGAAGATAGATATGCCAGAAGATATGCAGATAGAATGCCAGAAGATATGCCAGATAAAATGCCAGAAGATATGTCAGATAGAATGCCAGAAGATTTGCCAGTAACAAAACGTATAGATGTCATGGTGGGGATAACTCGAAGTAAAGTATTTTTTTACCGCTTATTCAAGGCCTATTCATGTTCACAAATTACCGATCCCAACGCGCTCCCCTGTCTCCAGCTCTTGCTTGAAGCCTAGCTTCCGGGGCAAAAGCCGATTCTGTATGTCCTCCATGAGCTGCTCCAGTTTCTTCAAATGAGACTGGACTGCCTGTTACAGTGAGCCAACCACCTGGATCTGTGGTCTCTACATGCGGGAAGTTTGCTGAAGAGGACGTGTTTTGTCTCTTTGAGTAGAACCCTGCATCCACAGAAATACAAAAGCGGCATCACACAAGATTCTGCTGGGAACATCTACACTCCCGGGAACAAACATGTCTCGGGCTACCGTTTCAGGTATCAACTAACATGTCCACTCTGTACCGGCGTTTTCCTGGATTTCCTGGCGAATGCATTGCAACTTTTTTGGGGACCATTAACCCAAAAACAGCTAACATGTCTCAGTTCCTGCAATTGGGGCCCTTGGATTTCGACCCTGATCTGGGATATGTTAACTATTTTTGGGGGATAGATTCAGCCAATAACCACTCACATATCTCAAAACCACATCCTCTGAACAACACGGACACGTTAGGTGGACGCTTTCCATGGCTAGTCATCCAACCCTTACTAAATGCAACTGGTTTTTGGAATGCACCCCCAATCTTCCTGCCCACCTACGAGCATCATCTATGATGCGCTCTTCCGGAAGGAGTTGGGGCCCCTTTTTTCTCCGCCGTTTTGTTATCAATGCAGGCTTTGATTTCAGCCCTATTCGGGTCTGGAAATAAAAATGCTGCGGCGTCCGGGGCGGTAGTCTTCTGGCAATTTCCCGAGAACCCCCAAAAAGGGGGACAACTTTTCCACTAACGTGTCCGGTGTCCATTCTGGATTTTCAGCTAACATGTCAAGTATAAAGCACTTATCATCGCCTATGCTCACAGCAGCTAACAAAACAAGTGGATACGTGTCTCGGGCTACCGTTTCAGGTATCAACTAACATGTCCACTCTGTACCGGCGTTTTCCTGGATTTCCTGGCGAATGCATTGCAACTTTTTTGGGGACCATTGACCCAAAAACAGCTAACATGTCTCAGTTCCTGCAATTGGGGCCCTTGGATTTCGACCCTGATCTGGGATATGTTCGCTATTTTTGGGGGATAGATTCAGCCAATAACCACTCACATATCTCAAAACCACATCCTCTGAACAACACGGACACGTTAGGTGGACGCTTTCCATGGCTAGTCATCCAACCCTTACTAAATGCAACTGGTTTTTGGAATGCACCCCCAATCTTCCTGTCCACCCACGAGCATCATCTATGATGCGCTCTTCCGGAAGGAGTTGGGACCCCTTTTTTCTCCACCGTTTTGTTATCAATGCAGTCTTTGATTTGAGCCCTACTGGGGTCTGGAAATAAGGATGCTGGGGCGTCCGGGGCGGTAGTCTTCTGGCAGTTTCCCGGGAACCCCCAGAGGGGGGGGGCAATTTTTCCACTAATATGTCCATTCTGGATTTTCAACTAACATGTCTCAAGTATAGGGCATTTATCATAGCCTATGTTCACAGCAGCTAACGTATCCAATT